AGGGGGAACCCTCTATACGGAGAGTGGAAGCTTCACCTGGAAGTAGCCAATCAGGTTTGGATGCACTTCGGCATTCCAGTAGTGGATCTTTATGCATCGATGGAAAATACTCAGTGACCACTGTTCTTTTCCCTGAGGGATCGGGAGGTACCGATGGGAGTGGACACGTTGGCGCACGAGTGGCCACTCGTCCTCCTGTATGCATTCCCCCCACTGGCCCTGATTTCCCCCACCCTAGCCAGGGTGCAGGAGAAAGGTCTATCTCTCATACTAATAGCGCCACATTGGCCAGGGAAACACTGGCTAGCGGAGATCACTCAACTGCTATGCAGCCATCCGTGGCCCCTTCCCTTGCGTCGGGACCTACTGTGCCAGGCGCGAGAGGAGATTTTCCATCCTCACCCGGAACGGTTGGTACTCTGGGCCTGGCCCGTGAATGGTTCAACTTCAACACTGCCGGGCTTCCTCAAAATATAATTTTGACTATTCAGAGTGCTAGAGCCTCATCCACCAGGTCCCTTTATAATTGTAAATGGCGAGTGTTTGAGGAATGGTGCACTGAATCACAGGCAGTGCCATTCCAGTGCTCTGTCCCGGTAATCCTGTCGTTTCTACAGGAATGATTAGAAAAAGGATAGGCTTTTTCTACTATTAAGGTATATCTAGCAGCTATTTCGGCTTGTCATGTGGGTTTTGGGAGCACGACAGTGGGGCAACACCCCCTTGTCGCCCGTTTTATGAAGGGTACAAGTCGCTTGCGTCCGGTGTCCAAACAGATTGCCCCGTCATGGGATTTATCAATTGTTTTGGATGATCTATGCCAACAGCCTTTTGAGCCCCTGGATCAGGTGGAGCTGAAGATGCTTTCATTTAAGACCTCGTTATTACTAGCATTGGCCTCCGCCAAGCGTGTAAGTGACATTCACGCACTCTCGGTGCACTTGTCATGTGCACAATTTGCACCTGGTAACAATAGGGTATCATTGCGGCCTAACCCTGCCTTTATCCCTAAGATTGTTAACCCATCTTTGATGTGTCTTCCTCTGGAGCTAGTAGCTTTCTATCCCCCACCGTTTTCCTCTCCGGAACATCAACGGTTGCATATGTTGTGTCCAGTACGCGCTCTGCGCATCTACATGGACAGGACTAAGGGATTTAGGAAATGTGATCAGTAGTTTGTTTCCTGAGTGAAACCTCACACAGGTAAAGCGCTCACTAAACAATGCCTATCTCACTGGATAGTGGGGGCTATTGCTTTGGCCTACACAAGTAAGGGTCTTCAGTCTCCTGCTGGCCTACGAGCTCATTCCACTAGAGGAATGGCAACGTCCTGGGCTTTATTTAAGGGCATATCTATCCAAGATATTTGCTCAGCAGTGAGTTGGGCTTCGACTCATACATTTGCAACATTTTATAGGCTCCATGTCACTGCACCGACCCTGGTGCATACTGTTTTAGGTGTAGGATCTTCTGAAGGGCAAAGCCCATTTGTGTGATATATCGCACAGGGCAGTCGGTCGTCAGGATAAGCTTGTCTGGCAATACAGGTGTCAGTATATCCCATAAGTACCGAAACGAATACTTGAAAGATAACTTTAGGTTACGACTGTAACCCACGTTCTCTAATAGCATGAGTGAGGTATTTCACCAGATCACCCTCCTTGCATGAGCGAGGAAGAGGTGTGGCTTATTTTTGAATGACTCAGAGACGCCGCGTCGGATCTTTTATAGGGTAGGAGGGACATCCTTCCCCGACACACACGTCTCGACGTCCAGCCAATCATGGCTGGCGTAGTGTAATAAAGGTTTCTGATTAATACGCTGGGGGCGTATCCCATAAGTGAAATACCTCACTCATACTATCAGAGAACTGGGGTTACAGTCGTAACCTAAAGTTTTGTTAACCTTAAGAGCCCCAACACTCGGTCTGAACACGCATCACTTGCAGTAAGGTTTTGGAAGCATAAGGACCTATCTTTATCAGTGATAAATAATTTTCAAAAAACTATGTTAAATTGATACACATTTTATAGGGTTAGGATTCCCACAGTGCTTACCGAAAACATCTCCTAAAACTTGTATGTAAACGGAAGACGTGTTATCTCTGAAAAATACTGTTGGCTGGAACTGCTAAAACTGTGTACAGTACGTGTATTTTCCATTTGTGAAATTATTTTGATGTGATATGAAAGTAGATTTATGTTTCTAGAACTGTACCGCAATTGAGAATCGATTCACGTTTAGATGGAGTATTTGGCTGTTTTGGCTTCCAGAGCCAATTCGCCTTTAAACAGTCAGAACATGTAAGGTCCTTGGACTATAAGGAGTAACGTTAGCCTCAGCCCCATTCATAAACTGTAGGCTATAAAATATTATGGATATACTGACAAGATGTCTCCCCGCCCTAACAATGGGGGGAGTCGTCCACAAAACGGCACAGCGGGCTGTCTAGCTCCCACCTAACCTTTCTTTGCCAAAGACTTTGGACTGGTGGATACATCTCATTTAGCATAGCCACCTCGCGAGTTGCCGGGATGTTACGTATCCTACTTACATTACATTACCAAAAGTATGTGGACACCTGCTCGTCGGACATCTCATTCCAAAATCATGGGCATTAATATGGAGTTGGTACCCCCTTTGCTGCTATAACAGCCTCCACTCTTCTAGGAAGGCTTTCCACTAGATGTTGGAACATTGCTGTGGGGACTTGCTTCCATTCAGCCACAAGAGCATTAGTGAGGTCGGGCACTGATGTTGGGTGATTAGGCCTGGCTCGTAGTCTGCATTCCAATTCATCCCAAAGGTGTTCGTTGGGGTTGACGTCAGGGCTCGGTGCAGGCCGGTCAAGTTCTTCCACACCGATCTCGACAAACCATTTCTGTATGGACCTCGCTTTGTGTACGGGGGCATTGTCATGCTGAAACAGGAAAGAGCCTTCCCCAAACTGTTGCCACAAAGTTGGAAGCACAGAATCGTCTAGAATGCCATTGTATGCTGTAACGTTAAAATGTCCCATCACTGGAACTAAGGGGCCTAGCCCGAACCATGAAAAACAGCCCCAGACCATTGTTCCTCCTCCAAACTTTACAGTTGGCACTATGATTTGGGGCAGGTAGTGTTCTCCTGGCATCCGCCAAACCCAGATGGTGAAGCGTGATTCATCACTCCAGAGAACACGTTTCCAATGCTCCAGAGTCCAATGGTGGCGAGCTTTACGCCACCCCAGCCGACGGTTGGCATTGCGCATGGTGATCTTAGGCTAGTGCGGCTGTTCGGCCATGGAAACCCATTTCATGAAGCTCCCGACGTACAGTTCTTGTGCAGACGTTGCTTCCAGAGGCACTTTGGAACTCTGTAGTGACTTGCAACCGAGGACAGACGATTTTTACGCATTACGCCTTCAGCGGTCCCGTTCTGTGAGCTTGTGTGGCATACCACTTCGCGGCTGAGCCGTTGTTGCTCCTAGATTTTCCACTTCACAATAACAGCACTAACAGTTGACCAGGGCAGAAGTTTGACCAACTGACTTGTTGGAAAGGTGGCATCCTATGACGGTGCAAGTTGAAAGTCACTGAGCTCTTCAGTAAGGCCATTCTACTGCCAATGTTTGTCTATGGAGATTGCATGGCGGTGTGCTCGATTTTATACACCTGTCAGCAAGGGGTGCGGCTGAAATAGCCGAATCCACTAATTTGAAGGGGTGTCCACGTACTTTTGTATATATAGTGTATATCAGTACACTCCTAAGAACTTAAGCATTACAAAACTTATATTCGATCAAATAAACCTCACGTTGCAAATAAGCCATACATTTTTTTGTTGACCAATTTCGACACTCATTGACCATACAAAAACTCCTTGCTTTGGAGGACGAAAAAACGCTACCTGCTGGAGGGAGACAGATTTTTCACGGAGTTGGGCCTCTCTCTTCCTCTCTGAGGCTACTATACACAGTGAAACTGCACCAGCCCGTGGTTAGCAGCTGCAGAAACCCCATAGATGTAGAAACACTCGCGGCGTCAACCAGCCGCCATTTTACATCATCGGGACACGAGTGAAAACCAGAACTCAACCGGACCTACGCCGGGAATCGTAGATTTTTTCTTTTTTTTGTAACACCCTGAAATCAGACAAAATCAGCACCGTGCACCTCAGTGAACTATCAAATGGTAAATATTTGCATGATTTGCCAACTGGTCAAGTTACGGATAGGTGAAGATGTTTGTTCTTGCAGTGTTTTCAAACAACGTGTAACGTGGTTAACGTTAGCTAACTAGCAAGCTAGCTAATCCTACCCGGCATTTTGAAAATGGATTCCAGAGCTAACGTCATTTGCTAGACAGCTAAGTTAACTAGCTAGTTATTTGGCGGCTGGACACCAGGCCGGGGCCACGGCGTAGCTAGCTAGCTATGTTAGTTCCACCAGCGAACCGGTGGCAAATATTTCAGACAATAAATTCCGGAAGAAGGGGTTAACGTTACAGTAGTTAACGTTAGGTAATGTATTAGCAAATAATTGTATAACTAAACCTCATTGTTCTATCTGTGGTATTAGTTTGCTTGCTAGTTTACAGTGTATTGTTAAACAAGACTACTAACGTTACACCAGTACCGTCAGTGGCCACAAAACACGTGTAACGTAGTTAGCTGGTTCCGCTCGTATGGGTTCCTACACGAGTCCAAAAACGCATCCAAATGTTAGCTACTGACTGTAGCTACCGTTAGTTATAGTTAACGGTTAACTGACTCCCAGGTCCGTCATTAGCATCATTTCCGAAGTTCAGTATAAAGCCGCGTACCTCTGGACTTGTCCTGTTCTCAGAGCAGTTATTTTTTTCAGGCACTGTTAGTTTGCTAAAACAAGACCATCTTAGAACATTTCTCTTAATTGCAGTAGTTTCATGATTAGCATGATCATAAAAGGGTTGTTGCAATACTACAACATTTCCCAGTCTTTAATTCATTTGACTCATTGCGTTACACAGATGTCTGGAGACATGGCGACCGATCAGGTGACCGATCAAGTAAATGGAAATGGTACAGAAGAACCAATGGACATAACTACAGTGGACACAACTGCAGCTGAAGTTAAACATTCAGACCATTTCCAGACTTTATTAGACGCTGGTTTACCTCAGAAAGTTGCTGAAAAATTAGATGAAATTTACGTAGCAGGTAAGTGCAACTGCCGTTTTTTGTTGTGTAATCTATTTGCAGTTTGTATTTACCAAAGCAACTTTGTCTGATTTCTTTACAAAATGGGTACAAACAAAGCAATCCTCACCATACCAAAAAACTGTATTTCTGAGTGGGAATTTGAATGCATTGTGTCTGGACAGAGTAGAGAAGCTATGGCTTAATGTGGATGGAAGCCTATTGTGGATTATTATACATTTTGAAACTGAGAAGCTGGAGTGGGTGGATGGGGGAGGGTTGTCTTGATATGGTCTCAGGGGCAATCTGAGGCCAGCTTGGCATATGCAGGAACAATGGCACCAGCTGCCTAGACTGGGACAATTGATGTCCCCAGAAGCACATTGTGGACATGCTAATTATAAATAATATAAATAAAAGCATAACAGGGCTCATAAGACATCTGTATTTACAAGTACAGTTGACTGACCTGGGTTACAGTGTGATTATTGCTTTTGCTTGTGGGTGCAGATAGCAAGATAGTTTCCCTCTTTTGATAAGCTGCATGTTTGTTAATTCCCTTATGTTTCTGTTATCATAAATAATTTCATGTTTTATTCACAACTAACCTACTACTTGAGAACTGGTTACTTTTTCTAGCAATATTGACTACTTTCTGTTTTGATTGTCCACATGATGATATCTATTACTCAAATCCTGGAGCAACTGAACATTGCTGTGATGGTTTACCGCTAAGATCTGATTGGACATAATGCCATGTCTTATTGTGCTGTCATTGGCAAACAAAATGGTTATATTTGGAATGTCTCTCTTCTACAGGACTGGTAGCGCACAGTGACCTAGATGAAAGGGCTATTGAAGCCTTAAAAGAATTTAATGAAGAAGGTGCTCTGCAAGTCCTGCTTCAGTTTAAGGAAAGTGATCTGTCGCACGTGCAAGTAAGTGGATGCTACGTTACACTTGGTTGAGGATGATTTTCTGATTTAAGGAAACGCTGGGAGGACCTAAAAGCTCTAATTTATCCTTGCAGAACAAAAGTGCATTTCTCTGTGGAGTAATGAAGACTTACAGACAGAGGGAGAAGCAAGGGACCAAAGTTTCAGATTCCACAAAAGGACCAGATGAGGCAAAAATAAAAGTATGTCAACACCAGGAAGTTTACTTTCCATGCTCTTTGTAGAAATGAAACATGCCTGTTCCAATCTCTTCCCACCGCCTTGGCATATTGTAATAGTTGGGTATTTGTTGGCAGACTTGATCTTGACTCCACTTAGCTTGTCAGAGTATTATACCAAGGTTCCAAAAGTCTGTCAATTTAGGCTGTGACAATATATTTTTTTGCATAGCTGAATATTTTGGTTATTTGTGACAATCAAGCATTGTTTTTGTGTAGTTGCAACATTTAATCTATTTATTTTGATAATGTCAGGCGCTGCTTGATAGAACCAGCTATACACTTGATGTGACAACGGGTCAGCGGAAGTATGGAGGCCCCCCTCCAGAGTCTGTGTATTCAGGTGCTCAACCCACTATTGGAACAGAGGTAAGGTCTTTACCTTTCAGTGAACAAACACTTATGAATGAGACCATCAAACATCTACAAATCGCTGTTTGTCCTAATGATGACATTTGTAGTTCTGGAGTGACTCTTGTTACACTTTTATGTCCAAGATGGCGTAGCAGTGCGGTCGTGTAAATAGCCTGTTTTGCATTTTATTTTATTTATCGTACATATTTCCCTATCACACTTTTCGTCCTTCTACTAAATATACTTTCCTGCAACCCGCCTCACTCAATGTGGAACGGATTCTATTATTTGACTTACCTTTTATCTAGAATCTCCAGTTGAAACTAACTAGCCAGCTAACTAGCTACTTGCTATTAGCCACAGTTAGCGGTTTTCACCCAGAACATCGGATTTTCTGCCGGAATAACTGAATCACTGGACATTAACACCGGATCGCAACTAGCTAGCCACAACCGAATGGATGTTGCTGTTGGCTAATCACCACTGCCCCCGAAGCAAGCACCAGTTAGCCTTGAGCTAGCCTCGAGCCAGGCCCATATCCCGGCTATCTACCTCTCTGTCTACCGGACGGGAGTAGCCAGCTAACTAGCTACTTGCTATTAGCCACCGTTAGCGTTTTTTCACCGTTGTCCGTGGCCTGCACTACCTACCAGCCAGCTCTAGCCTGGACTATTATCGGCCAGTCTGCACTGTCTGCACAGCGCGTTATCGACCCAGAACATATCGGTTTTTCTGCTGGAATCACTGAATCACTGGACCTTTAACTCCGGATCATCGCAACTAGCTAACTGCAACCAAATGGATGTTGTTGTTGGCTAATCAGCATTGAGCTAGCCTCGAGTCAGGCCCATCTCCCGGCTATCTACCTCTCTGTCAACCGGACGGGACCTCCTAGAGTCGACACGGAGCCCCGCCGATCCATCACGACTGGTCTGCCGACGTAATCATCTGTGGTTTCAACAGGCTTCCCATTGCGACGACCACGAAGGTCCATCTGCTAGCCCCGGCCCACTAGCACACGCAAACAACAGCCATGCTTCCTGCTAGCCTGTGCTGTAGCACCAATTCGAACTGCTCTCGGACTCACATATTGCTGTTCACTGGACCTTATGATCACTCAGCTGCACAGCTGATGCCTGCTGGACTGTTCCTTTACACTGTACCCTGTCCTGTTTATCTGTTTAGCTTCAGCCCAAACTTTCATCGCCATTACCAGTTGTTGTCTTAATTCTCTCTAATAACACCTGTGATTTCTTTATGCCTCTCTCCCATGTCAATATGCCTTGCCTATTGCTGTTCCAGTTAGTTGTTATTATACAATTTCACTGTAAAGCCCCAAGTTCCTCTCAAACTGCCTCAAATAGCTCCTTTGTTCCACCCCCCATACACGCGGAGACCGGCTCAATCGGTGCCTCCAGTGATGCTATCTCTTTCATTGTTACCCAACGCTTAGGTTTACCTCCACTGTACTCATATCCTTCCATATCCTTGTCTGTACATAATGCCCTGAATCTATTCTACAACGCCTGGAAATCTGCCCCCTTTACTCTCTGTACCCAACGCACTAAAAGACCAGTTCTTAAAGCCTTATCCTTATTCTAGTCCTCCTCTGTTCCTCTGGTGATGTAGAGGTTAACCCAGGCCCTGCAGCCCCCAGTATCACTCCTACTCCCCAGGAGCTATCATTTGTTGACTTCTGTAACCGTAAAAGCATTGTTTTTTTGCATGTTAACATCAGAAGCCTCCTCCCTAAGTTTGAGTTATTCACTGCGTTAGCACACTCCGCCAACCCTGATGTTCTAGCAGTGTCTGAATCCTGGCTTAGGAAGGCCATCAAAAATTCAGAAATGTCCATCCCCAACTACAACATTTTCCGTCTAGATAGAACTGCCAAAGGGGGTGGAGTTGCAATCTACTGTAGAGAGAGCCTGCAGAGCTCTATCATTCTATCCAGGTCTGTGCCCAAACAGTTTGAGCTCCTACTTCTAAAAATCCACCTTTCCAGAAATAAGTCTCTCGCTGTTGCAGCTTGCTACAGACCCCCTTCAGCCCCCAGCTGTTCCCTGGACACCATATGTGAATTGAATGCCCCCCCCCCCCCCCCCCATCTATCCTCAGTCGTACTGCTTGGTGACCTAAACTGGGATATGCTTAACACCCCGGCCATCCTACAATCCAAACTAGATGCCCTCAATCTCACACAAATTATCAAGGAACCTACCAGGTACAACCCTAAATCTGTAAACATGGGCACCCTTATAGATATCATCCTGACTAACTAGCCTCCAACACTCTACTCAGCAAATTGGATGTAGTCTATCACAGTGCCATCCGTTTTGTCTCCAAAGCCCCATACACTACCCACCACTGTGACCTGTACGCTCTTGTTGGCTGGTCCTCACTACATGTTCGTCGTCAAACCCACTGGTTCCAGGCCATCTATAAATCACTGCTAGGCAAATCCCTGCCTTATCTTAGCTCATTGGTCACCATAGCAGCACCCACCCGTAGTCTGCGCTCCAGCAGGTATATCTCACTGGTCATCCCCAAAGCCAACACCTCCTTTGGCCGCCATTCCTTCCAGTTCTCTGCTGCCAATGACTGGAACGAATTGCAAAAATCTCTGAAGCTGGAGACTCTTATCTCCCTCACTAACTTTAAGCATCAGTTGTCAGAGCACCTTACCGATCACTGCACCTGTACACAGCCCATCTGAAATTAGCCCACCCAACTACCTCATCCCTATATTGTTATTTATTTTACTCTTTTGCACCCCGGTATCTCTATTTGCACATAATCTCTTTCACATCTAGCATTCCAGTGTTAATACTAATTGTAATTATTTTGCACTATAGCCTATTTATTGCCTTACCTCCATAACTTGCTACATTTGCACACACTGTATATATATATTTTCTGTTGTATTTTTTGACTTTGTTTTTTTACCCCATATGTAACTCTGTGTTGTTGTTTTTATCGCACTGCTTTGCTTTATCTTGGCCAGGTCGCAGTTGTAAATGAGAACTTGTTCTCAACTGGCTTACCTGGTTAAATAAAGGTGAAATAAAATAAAACACAGAGCTTACAGCTAAGATCTGGCTGGGCAGAAATTTAAAACACTGAAGTGTAACAAAAAAAATCCCCCCTTATGCCCTTGAGTTCCATTAATATTTTATGTGTATACATTTCCAGAACCGAGCACTTTCACATCTGCTCACAGATGTTTCTTCATAACATGTTCCCTCCCTTTCCAGATATTTGTTGGGAAAATTCCTCGAGACTTGTTTGAGGACGAGCTGGTGCCGCTCTTTGAGAAGGCGGGACCTATCTGGGATCTACGTCTAATGATGGACCCCCTTAGTGGACTGAACAGGGGCTATGCCTTCGTCACTTTCTGCACGAAAGAGGCTTCCTCAGAAGCAGTAAACCTGGTGAGTGTCTCCGTGCCTTGACTAGGGTTGCAAAATTCCAGGAACTTTCAATACATTCCCTGGTTTTCCAGAAATCCTGATTGTAGGATTCCGTATTTCCTGATTATACACTCCTGATTCCGGGAATCCTCTAACCGGGATTTCGGATAAACCAGGGAAGATATTGAAAGTTCCCAGAATTTTCCAAACCAAACCTTGACACTCCAGTTATGGCATCCTCTACAGCAGGGATCTCCAACAGGTCGATCGTGAGCTACCCCACCTACAGTATCAGTCAAAAGTTTGGACACACCTACTCATTCAATGGTTTTCTTTATTTTTACTATTTTCTACATTGTAGAATAATAGTGAAGACATCAAAGCTATGAAATAATACACATGGAATCATGTAGTAACCAGAAAAATTGTTAAACAAATCAAAATATATTTTAGATTCTTAAAAGTAGCCACCCTTTGCCTTGATGACAGCTTTGTACACTCTTGGCATTCTCTCAACCAGCTTCACCTGGAATGCTTTTCCAACAGTCTTGAAGGAGTTCCCACATATGCTGAGCACTTGTTGGCTGCTTTTCCTTCACTCTGCGGTCCAACTCATCCCAAACCATCTCAATTGGGTTGAGGTCGGTTGATTGTGGAGGCCAGGTCATCTGATGCAGCACTCCATCACTCTCCTTCTTCGTCAAATAGCCCTTACACAGCCTGGAGGTGTGTTGGGTCATTGTCCTGTTGAAAAACAAATGATAGTCCCACTAAGCGCAAACCAGATGGGATGGCGTATCGCTGCAGAATGATGTGGTAGCCATGCTGGTTAAATGTGCCTTGAATTCTAAATAAATCACTGACAGCGTCACCAGCAAAGCACCATCACACCACCTCCATGCTTCACAGTGGGAACCACACATGCAGAGATCATCCGTTCACCTACTCTGCGTCTCACAAAGACACGGCGGTTGGAACCAAAAATCTCAAATTTGGACTCATCAGACCAAAGGACAGATTTCCACCGGTCTAATGTCCATTGATTGTGTTTCTTGGCCCAAGCAAATCTCTTCTTATTGGTGTCCTTTAGTAGTGGTTTCTTTGCAGCAATTTGACCATGAAGGCCTGATTCACGCAGTCTCCTCTGAACAGTTGATGTTGAGATGTGTCTGTTACTTGAACTGCATTTATTTGGGCTGCAATTTCTGAGGCTGGTAACTCTAATGAACTTATCCTCTGCAGCAGAGGTAACTCTGGGTCTTCCTTTCCTGTGGCGGCCCTCATGAGAGCCAGCTTCATCATAGCGCTTGATGTTTTTTGCGACTGCACTTGAAGAAACGTTAAAAGTTCTTGAAATGTTCCGGATTGACTGACGTTTCTCTTTGCTTATTGGAGCTGTTCTTGCCATAATATGGACTTGGTCTTTTACCAAATAGGGATATCTTCTGTATACCACCCCTACCTTGTCACAACACAACTGATTGGCTCAAACGCATTAAGAAGGAAAGAAATTCCACAAATTAACTTTTAAGAAAGCACACCTGTTAATTGAAATGCATTCAAGGTGACTACCTTATGAAGCTGGTTGAGAGAATGTGAAGAGTGTGCAAAGCTGTCATTGAGGCAAAGGGTGGCTACTTTGAAGAATCTCAAATTAAAATATATTTTGATTTGTTTAACACTTTTTTTTGGTTACTACATGATTCCATATATGTTATTTCATAGTTTTGACATCTTCACTATTATTCTACAATGTAGAAAATAGTAAAAATAAAGAAAAATCCTGGAATGAGTAGGTGTCCAAACATTTACTGGTACTGTATGAGTAGCTCGCCAAACAATTCTGAAAGTACATGCAATTTTCACATGTTCCACTGCAAACTGTGATAAACAAATCTCACAAGTATCAGCTACTATCTAATCAACGCAACATTGACAGCATCCCAACCCCTGGTTAGCCACTATTGGCTTAAAAAGCTAACTCTAACACAGTATCTGCCAATGAGTGAAAAACAAAACAAGTCTAAAACCAGCAAAAAATTAAACCAAACATAATTTGGGGAAACATAATTTGGAGAGACATTTTTTTGCTTTTATAGGGCCCCCTTAGTAGTTTTATTAACCATGATTTTACCAGGTATATTGACAGAACACAGTGCTCTACTTTTTCTTGTACACTAAGGACCCGGGGAAGAGTTGCAGGGGAGGGAGGAGAATGTACCTATTTGAAAGCCACCAAAAAATGAGTAGCTCATACTTAAGAAGGTTGGAGGACCCAGCTCTACAGTATTCCTCATGTCTAATATGAAATGTATTTTCAGGCTTTATCGGTTTAATCAATTTGAAAGTATGAACTTTCTGTGCCATGGCGGTTTCATATTTATGCTTGTCACCCTGGTTGACGAATTCCTCTCTTTCCGTAGTGTAATAATCATGAAATACGCCCCGGCAAGCACATTGGAGTGTGTATATCTGTTGCCAATAACAGGCTGTTCGTTGGCTCCATCCCCAAGAGTAAAACGAAAGAGCAGATGGTGGAGGAGTTTGCTAAAGTCACAGGTAAGAAAAATCTTTGCTGATTAGTGAGATTGGGGCTCTTCATTTTATTAAGTTAATGACATGTCTTGTGGTTGTAACTAACTACATCAAGATCAGATTTGCTTTAGCTATGAGAATGTGATATTTAATGCAGTTTAAACCTGACCTGACTTTTTCTTTTTCCAACAGAGGGTCTTAATGATGTCATACTGTACCATCAGCCGGATGACAAAAAGAAGAACAGAGGTTTTTGCTTTTTGGAATACGAGGACCACAAAACTGCTGCTCAGGCCAGACGCAGGCTGATGAGTGGCAAGGTGAAAGTCTGGGGGAACATGGTTACTGTGGAATGGGCAGACCCCATCGAGGAACCCGATTCAGAGGTCATGGCCAAGGTAGGTGCTCTGCTGATTGCAAAGTGATGAAACACTGGATAAATGATGTGTATCCCAAATGACACCCTATTCCCTATATAGTGCACTACATTTGACTAGGGCCCATTGGACCTGCTCAAGAGTAGTGCACTATATAGGGGATAGAGCGCCATTTGGGATGATACCAGGGTTTCTGAATGGTGCCAAATTAACTTAATCTTGGGTATACAAATCCCTCTGTTGAAGGAGAAGGGAAAATGTTTCGTTTCCCACCTGAAGTCTTGCTTGCAGTTTAACAAAATACAACAGCTAGTCTTTAACTGGGTAGAGATCACACTTATGTCTTTGTGGAAACCATGTACTTGAAATTCTTAATACGTTTCCTTTCATGCATTTCAACCCACAGGTCAAAGTTTTGTTTGTCCGAAACCTTGCGAACAGTGTTACGGAAGAAATACTGGAAAAATCCTTCGGCCAGTTTGGTAAACTGGAGCGAGTGAAAAAGCTGAAAGATTACGCCTTCATTCACTTTGATGAGCGGGACAGTGCAGTCAAGGTACTGACATTGAGTGATAATATAATGAGAATACACTGCTGTAAGTACATGACAGTGTATAGGTGTGTAATTGTATGATGACTGTTGTTTGCCACCATCTCCACAGGCATTGGCTGAAATGAATGGCAAAGATCTAGAGGGAGAGCACATTGACATAGTCTTTGCAAAGCCCCCCGATCAGAAGAGGAAAGAACGCAAAGCTCAGAGACAAGCAGCCAAAACAAACATGTAAGAAGTCTTCCAAAATGTTACAAATGTTACTGCTCTTTACAAAAGGCTCCACTTTTCAAAGCCCAATTTGAAATGGTTGCATGACTGATTCTATGTTCTAATCCCATAAGAACAGTTATGAGTCCATGTGTGTACAGTGTCTTGAAAGTTTTTGCATGGTTCTGCTTGTTTTTGCCCTATAGGTATGATGATTATTATTACAACTACGGCCCCCCTCAGTTGCCCCCTCCCACAAGAGGCGGCCGGAGTAGAGGTGGTGGTAGGGGAGGGTATGCTTACCCCCCAGACTATTATGGCTACGAGGATTACTACGATTATTATGGTTATGATTACCACAATTACCGTGACGGATACGAGGACCCCTACTACGGCTATGATGACTATCAGGCTCCCGTTAGAGTAAGAGGGGGCAGAGGTGCCTGGGGCGCATCTCCAGCCAGAGGCCGAGGCGGTGCAGGCGCTTTCAGGGGCAGAGGTGGCTTCTCACCGCGTGGTGGTCCAGGATCAAGCAGAGGAGGTGGGCGAGGTGCCAGAGGAGGTGTGCAGCAGAGAGGCCGCGGCGGGGTACGTGGTGCAAGGGGTGGCCGCGGTGGAAATGTAGGAGGAAAGCGCAAAGCTGATGGGTACAACCAGCCAGATTCCAAGCGGCGCCAGACCAATAATCAGAACTGGGGCTCTCAACCCATTGCTCAGCAACCGCTCCAAGGTGGTGATCGTTCTGGTAACTATGGTTACAAATCTGACAACCAGGAGTTTTATCAGGATTCTTTTGGGCAACAGTGGAAGTAAAACATTAGGGCTTTTTTTTAGACGCTTGATCTGATTAGCTGTAAATCCATACAGTTGCCTCCCTTTTTTCCAATTTGGTGACATCTGGCAAGTTTTGTCTTGTATATATTTTCATAATCCGCTTGGATTCGAACCGTAGATACAATCCCACCTGCTTCTGGCGAACTGGTAAATTTTTTACAAAGTTGATTGTGATTTCCATAATGTTTTGACAATTTGCAATCATGTGCTTCAGCTCTCTATTTGGCTATAGTAGTATTATGTATGTTTTTATCAATTCTGGTCTCCATGTCTTAAGTAGCTAACAGCAACAACGCTTATGTCTCTTAAACATGTAGCCTCGCTTTTTAAAACAAATGAAATTACAATTTGTATGTTACAGAAGGTAATTCTAGGAAATAGCTTGTCTTGTTAAAAAAAAAAAAAAAAAAAGATGAAAAAAAGGGACTAGTCCTATTTTTTGCCTTTACATTTTGGCTTGTATTCTTTGCTGTTTGTCTGCTTTAATAAACATACACGCACAAGTGTACAAAACTTCAAATTGTGTTGCAAATTCATGTTTCGGCAAATTCTCTCTTTAAATTGCCTTCAAATTTAAGGCTCCTTGTGGAAGAAAAGGACTAAAGGTTTGCCTATTTTAGCCACATGCTGCAACGTCACTTTTGCATGCCATCAAATTTTTTATCACATAGTTCAGCAGTCGGCATATTTCCACAATTCAAGTGTTACGTATGTGTAGAGACACTCCATCAGTATTTTTTAATTAAAAGCCATATCTCAAACATTCTGCTGTCAATTTGATTTCACAATTTTTTGTAGCCCAAATTAAATGGATTTTCATTAAAGAAATGCCATGAAAATAAGTGACATCTTTCTCTGATGGCCACTTCAAATCTGTCCCGTTGGCTATTAAGAAAGCACAATTTGTGAAGCTTTTCTTGTCCCAGAAGGATCTATATAGTCATTGGTAGCCTTAACACTGATCTTGCATGTTTCTCAAAAAATCCTAATTGAGCAATGGTGGGAAATAATTGGCATGCATAGACTGTCTGTATGTAGTGCTTGTAGTTTGGCCATAAACCCTAATCTTTCCACATCCCAACTACTTAACTTGTCTCCTTTTAAAGAACACAGCAAAGCCACTGTTCTGCATGACCTTTTCCTAAAGGCATAGACTTGTTGCATGTGAAGTTGAAAGGTGTGGAAGTCGGGGGAATGCTTACAAGAGTGTTTGTCTTTAATGTGCAGTAGCCTGTTTTCTGTAGTTACATGTGTTTAGATGTTATGTGGTCTTCTGTTGTGATCTATCTTCTAATTGCATCCTTTTGTTACCTGACTAGCAGGGAAAAGGGGTCGAGGCCGGTCCTGACCTGTCACTATGAAGACTGACCTGCTACTTACTGTATGTGGGGTTACACCAGGAAGCTGCCAGTGGAAGTGATGGTAAGGTCAACTCAATGGTCCAATGATATTCCAACCTTACAGCAGCGTATCTCCCAGAACTGCCACAGGAGAAGATGATCAAAAGAGAAGTCAAGTCACTTGCTTGCCACCTTCCCCCATATCCCCAAAGAATATGCCATTTTAAATGACTGTTGAAGATGTTGAGATTTCCCAGCGGACTCTTCATCCTGAAATGAAATGTAGTTATGTCTTTTGCACTTTGTCTAAGTTTGAAGTGGCTCAGAGGAGCTTGATGCTAATGTATATTTGTGTGCTTAATGCAGCTTTATGCTGGAATAGACATGTTTAATCCTGTTTTGATTTGGATTGGTTTTAAGATCATGTTTTAGCTGTAACCCCCTGGCATAAATAGGAATTCCAGGAAAGTGGTTATTTTCAGAACTTGTCTTTAAAGGGTTGGTTAACTACCTCTGTACAGAGGATTCAACTGCCCTGTTTGTACTGTAAATAGGAAAACTTCATTGGAAGCAGGGCTTGTTCCCCCCACTAAATATTAGGACTGTGACGATACCAGCATCGTACTAGTTTTTCCATGGCAAAAATGACAACACGAAGCAGACCAAACTCTTTGGTCCTTTAAAAATCTACTGTATGTATAATATTGTGTGCTATAGCTTGGAAAATAAATAGATGTGACTCTGGATGACACCATAATGTTTGTTTCCAACATTAGGGTTTTGTTTCCTTGCCACAATACGAGTATCGCGATACTGGTATCGTACCGGCCCTACTAAATATGCACAAGGGCAACAGCAGAGCACTTAGTTTTTTTATTATAGGTGCTGCGTGCTATTTGTCTGACACTGCGAACAGTCAAACTCAGCATGTTAAAGAATCTCATGTAATGAGCCTGAATGAACAAGCCCTGCTTTCATCTGGTTTGAACTGAATTTGCAATGTGCTTCTTCAGATAATGTAGTTACTGGTTGTATTATAGTTTAGGAAAATGTTACTTTTGTAAAAGCTTGAACACCAGAAAGACCTACTTTTTTCAGAAGCTTTGTAGTGTCCCTTTCTTTGCTCAATGGGATAGGAAGTCTAACTTTTGTACATGATCGCATCCCTTTTGTAAGGTTGCATACACTGTTTGAAAGCCATCCACCTACTTTGTGTACAGAAATTTGCCTAATCATGTTGTACAACGTGAACATTGATCAGACATCCAACCAGCTGCCTTTTTGTCACATTTGACATATGTGACAAGTGTCTTCAATTTGCATCATGTTGAGCATGTGATTAGTAGCCTAGTTAGCTGGATATGACTGGTTTTATCCAGTTCAAAAGGGATGCTGCAGCTTTTTGAAATTGCTTAAAGTAGACTGAACAACTTGATCAGGTTTTGTACACAGTTGACTCCCTCAGTAAGTCTATCATTACACAACTCTTTGAAATAATGTTACTAGTGTTAAAATATTGTTGGTGGCTAACAAGTTTTTTTGCAATCTTGCAAATAAATTGTTTTATACTGTAAAGTGAGGCGAGTAACTTATTTTTAAAATAAAGGTCTTGATTTTATTGCAGTGCTCTTGTTACTGTATATCCATGTGTATGTTAATGGTTATAGTCATAAGTGTATAGATGTATTGGTAATTGGTGACAAGACTGACAATTCAACAACTCAAACATGCTGATTAGTACACTACTACACTCACTCCTTTTTCTGGAATTTACAGCAATAGTCAAATATTTATTTTGTTTACCGATGTTCACGTCACTATTTAAAAACTACACGAGTTTAATTGTAAATGCCAGAATTTTCACATCAATAATAAGAGGATTATTAACGACCGTTACAGAAAATAAATATGAACGCTTATACAACCAAAGACTACTGGTACTAAATATTTCTCAGTATCATCCCTATCCCTTGCTCTGCTGGGCATTTCTAGTAGTGGCAAGGATTAGAACCGGAAGTGACGACCGTAGGATTAAGGAAACAGTCGATCTGTCAAGGAAATCAACACTTTCTGAAATAGGAAATAACAGAACGCTAGCTAGCCACAAATAAAATGAAGACATATCAGAGAAGACATTATAGCTAACTATCTGAAACGTGCACAAAATTATAACATGGTTCGCTGTCTGAAGAACTAGCTGACTGGATTACTCATTTGTAAGTTGCCTGCTAGTTAATGTCGCGTACCCCTTGATAATTTAAGTAAATTGTAGCTGGTATGGTGTTACTTTTTGCTTCAAATAGTAGGCTATCCATGTAGCTAACTAGCTAGCTACATCTTTCAAGCCAGCGTGAGTAAATGCAATGTTCACCTCTTCAACAGACCCCATTTGTAAAATGGAACGTATTCGAGTTTATCTGGAGAGCCTGAAGCAAGGACTGCAAATTGATGTCCTGAGGGAAGTTGGACGTCAATATCCTGTATTTTGCTTTCTTCTGGTTTTCATGCTATCATTAACTATACTTCTTAATAGGTAGGTTTTGTGGACAAACAAGCTGGATATCTGTTTTTGAATGAATGACAAATGTTATACCTTATGCTCATGTAATCTGAAGGAGTTTAAAGGTTATTTTGCTCAATTCATGTCGGGGTAAACGTGAGTTCAGCATCCTGTCTGTACTCATTCTTTCAGAATATGTAATTTTTTCAGTTGAGGTATTAGACATCTAGCTATGTGTCTGACCTGGTTATTCTAGGTATCTTCACATTCTGATGGTGTTTTGGTCCTTCCTGGCTGGAGTGATTACGTTCTATTGCTCCCTCGGTCCAGAATCACTCCTGCCCAACATCCTGTACACGATAAAGCCGAAGAACAAAGTAAGCACATTTAAAACCCCTTAAATACAAGGGTCATGTTCATTAGGCACCAAATGGAAGAATACGGACTGAAACAGGGAGGGACTACCTCCTGAACTTGTCCAAAAATAAGTACTCGTTTTAGTTTTCTGTTGCAAACGTTTTCCCTCGTGTGCCCTAATGAATACGACCCAGTAGTCAGAGGGCAATGCAGTGTGTTGTGGTTGAGTTGCTTATTAAGTTTCTGTAAATAGTTGGTCATTTCCCATTTATCAGTGGGATATCCAAAAGGAAGTGACAAGTGTTGTAGCTGCAGGGTCTCCCTATCTATTCTTCCAGCAGCAAGCGCAACAGGAGCTGTTTCCATTGGGACATAGCTGTGCAGTGTGTGGGAAAGTAAAGTGCAAACGTCACAGGTATGTCAGACCACTCAATATAGGCCTAGCACAAATGGAGAACAGACCAAATGTCACGTTTACATGTATGGCAAATGAATGGAAGCTTGTGTTGAGCAGCAATGAACAGCAGTGGCATTGATTAGTCCCCTGTAGCTCAGTTGGTAGAGCATGGCGCTGGCAACGCCAGGGTTGTGGGTATGTTTCCCACGGGGGGCCAGTATGAAAATGTATGCGCTCACTAACTGTAAGTTGCTCTGGATAAGAGCGTCTCATAAATGACTAAAATGTAAATGTGAATTAGTAAAATGCAAAAAAGGATTTGGCCCCATTGGTCAGAGGTAATCTGCCGTCTAGTGGACACTATGAGTCGGTGCTGCTCATTCACATCACTTTTGAAATATGTTGTGTTTCACAGACCAACATTACTCCTAGAAAACTATCAGCCATGGTTGGACTTGAAAGTCTACTCCAAAGTGGATGCTTCCATTTCTGAGGTATTGCAATGGGTCATTTTAAATAGAATTTGATTAGAAATCACAATTATAACAGATTGTCAATCAGTCAATATCTTTATTGTCCAAATCAGGAAATAAATGTAGTATTATTGTTTGGCCCGTAGGTGCTCGAGTTGGTTCTGGAGAATTTTGTATATCCCTGGTACCGGTGAGTAGATTCTACCACAGTTTTGAACATTTGACTTCTCTTTTCTGTCTGGAGAAGAGAGAGAGGTGTGAATGAGTATTTCATTATGCTTTTTCTTTACTTGACAGGAACATCACAGATGATGAGGCATGCGTAGATGAACTGAGAATGACCTTTCGGTTCTTTGCATCTGTGTTAGTTCGACGCGCTCAGAAGGTGATGCATAGTTCTCAGTCCATTCATCTCTCTCGTCCCACATTCTGTTCTCAGAACAGTTATGTTCAGCAGACACATTCGAGTTATGTATGCCATTTGCATCCACATATTGTTGATAATGGTTAATACATTGTTAATGTACTCAGGCTTTACACTAACTGTGAAAATGTTTCATACAGGTTGATGTCCCCTCAGTTATTTCTGGCAAAATGATGAAAGCAGCCATGAAGCATGTTGAAATCATTGCAAAGGCCAAGCAAAAAGGTTTATTTTTTTGTAGATTTTTGTAGCACAAAGTACAATAAGTTTCTGCACTGTAAGATGTTGGTCAACAGAGAACTAAATGTGCACTGACTGTGCAAGGCTTAATACTGTGTCTGTGTGTGTGTTCCAGTGAAGAACACTGAGGGTTTGCAGCAGGCTGCTCTGGATGAGTATGGCCCTGACTTACATTTTGCTCTGCGTAGTCGCAGAGATGAGCTGCTTTATCTCAGGAAGGTGACAGAGATGCTCTTTGCCTATCTCATGCCTCCCAAAGCCACTGACTGCAGGTAGGCCAAACCAACCAGACAGGATGCATCCCAAATGGCACCCTATACCCTGTATTGTGCACTACTTTTGACCAGGGCCCATAGGGCAATAGTCAAAAGTAATGTCAAACAGTTGAAGTCGGAAGTTTACATACACCTTAGCCAAATACATTTAAACTCAGTTTTTCCCAATTCCTGACATTTAATCCTAGTAAATATGCCCAGTCTTAGGTCAGTTAGGATCACCAATTTATTTTAAGAATGTGAAATGTCAGAATAATTGTAGAGAGAATGATTGATTTATTTCAGCTTTTATTTCTTTCATCACATTCCTAGTGGGTCAGAAGTTTACATACACTCAATTAGTATTTGGTAGCATTACCTTTAAATTGTTTAACTTGGGTCAAACGTTTCGGGTAGCCTTCCACAAGCTTCCCACAATAAGTTGGGTGAATTTTGGCCCATTCCTCCTGACAGAGCTTGTGTAACTGAGTCAGGTTTGTAGGCCTCCTTGCTCGCACACACTTTTTCAGTTCTGCCCACAAATGTTCTATAGGATTGAGGTCAGGGCTTTGTGATGGCCACTCCAATACCTTGACTTTGTTGTCCTTAAGCCATTTTGCCACAACTTTGGAAGTATGCTTGGGGTCATTGTCCATTTGGAAGACCCATTGAGATGTTGCTTCAATATATCCACATAATTTTCCTTCCTCATGATGCCATCTATTTTTTGAAGTGCACCAGTCCCTCCTGCAGCAAAGCACCCCCACAGCATGATGCTGCCACCCCCGTGCTTCAAGGTTGGGATGGTGTTCTTCGGCATGTACACCTCCAATTGACTCAAATTATGTCAATTAGCCTATCAGAAGCTTCTAAAGCCATGACAACATTTTGTGGAATTTTTCAAGCTGTTTAAAGGCACAGTCAACTTAGTGTATGTATACTTCTGACCCACTGGAATTGTGATACAGTGAAATAATCTGTCTGTAAACAATTGTTGGAAAAATTACTTGTGTCATGCACAAAGGGTGCCATTTGGGACACAGCCAGAGTTCGTGTACCTGTTGAAGGGAAAGGACAACATTTCTTTTTTGGAATTGGAATCCTGTCTTAATCTGAATCCTGTGTCTTACTCTTTGTCAGATCTCTAGCTCTGCTGATGCAAGAGATCCTGGTAGGCTCTGTGTTCCTCCCAACCATGGACTTCATGGCTGATCCTGTAAGTGTAATGATGTATGTGTGCTTAGTGATAGAGGGTATAGAAGTTAAAGGCCCATTCACATGACCCGTGCAAGAACAGCTTTGTGCTGAGCAAGCCATTGTTTTTCAATGGAGGAGAATCAAGTGAATGGACCAATTATACAAACTCAGAACTCTCTGCATCAATATTGTATCAATGAAATGCATGAATGAGCAGAACATTCTAGAACTGGAATTTTAGCAATGTAACTGAGTGGTGGTTGACCTATTCCATCTTACTGATGCATTCCTCCTGTTGCTTTTCAGGATACTGTAAACCACATGGTGCTAATATTTGTTGATGACTCTCCAGTAAGTAAATTGTGCATTTTACCTATCCTCTAGTGGAAGCATCATGCATTCATGGATTTGTGATTCATTCCTCAAATTGTTTTCCCAGTCTGAGCTGGCCATGGAGCCACCGTCTACCCTGGTTCCATTCCTGCAGAAATATGCTGACCCTCGTACCAAGAAGACATCTGTAAGTACTTAGTCCTATGGGCACAAAAAGCCCTTGTTAGCGACATATCCATTCCACTGACCAATTAATTGGCTGTACAGTACCCTCTCAGCCATTACAAGCAGAGTGAGAAAGGTACTTAATGAACTTAAACAGATTTTCTTTTTTTTTTATACAAAAAAGAGAAGAGATTAATTAATAAATGAAATATTGGTAGAGTGTTTTGCATGGACAAACACAGGATGTGTCCCAAATGGCCTCCTATTCCCTATATAGAGCATTACTATGGGCTCTGTGGGCCCTGTTCAAAAGTAGTTTACTATAAAGGGAACAGGGTGCCATTTGGGGAGCACCCACAGTTGCTGAACTCTGTCTATCCTCTTGCCATCTGGTTTCCCAGGTGCTGAAGCTGGAGCTGAAGGAGATCCGGGAGCAGCAGGACCTTCTGTTCCGCTTCATGAAGTTCCTAAAGCAAGAGGGGGCCGTGCACGTGCTCCAGTTCTTACTCACTGTGGGTAAGGACAAATCTAATAGAACCTTATACAAGACTATAAGGTCCTTTAACTGCCCCTCCTACCAAACTTTATTGTCCCCAGAGAGAAATGTGGTTCTTCTCAGCCCTAACATCTTTCCTGCATACTACTCTTATATTGAGAGGCATTTATATAAATCCATCAAAGATCCATTACATGTACTGTATGTCCATGATGACACGTAAAGTAGCCATAGTCAAGCCATGGATATTTCAAGAGGAACTACACAACCCCACTTTTTCTTTCTTTTCAGTTAAGTTTTTATTGAATTTTAAAGTTTTATAAAACATAGATCAATCAGGTAACACTGTAACAGCATTTATCCACTTCTCTTTCATGTAATTCCAGAGGAGTTCAATGATAAGATCCTGTGTCCGGAGCTGAGTGACTCTGAGCTGCTGCGTCTGCATGGTGAGGTGCAGAACCTCTACGAGACCTACTGCCTAGAGGAGAGTATCGACAAGATCAGTTTTGACCCTTTCATCGTCGAGGAAATACGAAACAGTAAGCTGTGATGGACAGTTGGTGCTCACAATTTTACCCCAATCATTTAACACAGTGTGATGTGAGATGTGCTATTTTTCTGGAAGTCCACAAACCTTTAAAAACATATGTCTCTTGTTTTAGTTGCAGAGGGGCCGTACGAGGGAGTGGTGAAGCTGCAGACTATGCGCTGCCTGTTTGAGGCCTACGAGCATGTCCTGTCCCTGCTGGAGAGCGTCTTCACCCCCATGTTCTGCCACAGCGATGAGGTGAGCCCCAGCCACGCACTGACACTGTACTCTCTGGGTGCGTCCCAATAATCTCTCCTACTTCCTGAAGTTTGCGCTCGTTCACTACTCCCCAAAAATGTTAAAGCATTGGATTGGTCGAGTAGGCTTGGGCTAGAGGGAGTTTCCATCTACCTGTCATTTTCCTTTCTAATCCATGAAGGGAAGTGAACAGACACAAGTGCACATTTCTGGAGAAAGGAGAGATTATTGGGACGCAACCTGTACTTTCTATGTGGACATAAACCATACACCCTAATCTAATTGCCTTCATTGGAATTTTCCTACAAAGAGCCAGAACATGATACAATGACAACGTGAACGTTTCAATATACAAACGCAAGTTGACAAACTGATAACATTTGACCCATTCATAACTCTATTTCTGCAGTATTTCACACACCTGCTGAAGGGGGCAGAGTCTCCAAAAAGGGACTCCAGAATGAACAGGTTTGTGCTCCTGATGGCAATGACTGTAAAATTAGAAAGAGGTGTAATATTCTTCTAAGCTGAAGTGTTTAGTGGTGTTCTTTTTCTAGGATAACCTTTCATTCATGTTGCACTCACTCATATTATACACACACATTGCCTCTGCATCTAAATAGAGACTTGATTGGAGAGGATTCATATTCTTCTATACAGAAGTGTTAAGTGTAGTTTCAATGGCTATTTACTACACATGTACTACACACCATGCATCTTTACTTCTAAGCCAAGACTCCACATTAGGGTGGTGTATTGTTATTATTGGATCATGTAACATAGGCCTGTTTACGCCCATCACATCCCCACAAAGGGCTCTGAAGCTATTTTGTACTATTTGAAGCCTTTAGCTGTGGGCTTATCCTGTTTATCTTGGCAGCCTGTAATTCATTGTACCTGTTATTCCAGGAATAGTCTGAGTGTGGATGATATGAGGTGAGTATGTGTCTCGGAATGATGCAGGCCAGGCTAATGTCCCACTGCCGTTGAGTTGGCTGCATGCAAGATATAATTTGCCCAGAATGTAGTGAATGGAACCAAAATGTGCCTGAGAAAAAGCATTGTGGGGCAATAAGCACTATTCTTCAGTAGGCTTTTGCAAGCTAGCGTTTGTGTGTTGTTTTTGTTAAGACTTACTGTTTACCTTGTTGTATTGCTGTAACTGAACAAGAGTTGGTGTTATATGTAATTTTTTTCGATTCAGTTGAAGAATTGTTGAACATTCAAAGTAGCAGGTGCTTTAAATAGTATTTTAATTTCTAGTTTTGGGGTTGAACTCAAGAGCCACAGAATGGAGGAAGAGGAGAAAGATGGTGTTACCCATGGCCCCATAACTAATCTCCTCTCATGCTGTTTCTCTAATGGTCTATCCATGTCTTGTCTTGTGTGAGCGCCCATAGTTCTCCTGTGTATAATGGATGCCAGATCCCCTTGTCGGGACAGCGTTGGAGGGCCTCAATTTCACGCCATCTCTATTCAACCTTCCATTCTTGTTCCTAATATTTGGTCTGCACTAACTTGCCCATCCAACATTCAACCGTCTACTGACACATGGCTAGATTTGAGCCTTAGTCTGTAAGCATGGACTCCTGTACACAACTACAAACTACCTCTCATTGCTTGAGTGCATCTGTTCTCATCTATCTGCTTGGTATTAGTTGAATGTGCAACATTTCATAATGTGTGCTCTCTTTGTGTGTTCATGTTTGGATTTGGACCTCAGCATGGCATTTTGACTTTGGACTTATAATTTTAACATCTTTGCAGCATTTTCAATTATTTTGATCTGCATAGCACCATTTGAGGCAACGCTGCATTAACAGCAGATGTTTGGATAAGTGGCATCAACAACTGTTGCCAGCAACAACACATGCAGTCTCACACAGCTGCCTGTCTGGCATTCCATTTCCATGTGTGTTTAGTTCTGTGTTCATGCATATGTTTTCGTGTGTGCCTGTGAAGGATCGTCTCAAAACGAGGGGAGACGTTCGGGATCAGCCGGATCGGCAGCAAAATCAAAGGTGTCTTCAAGAGCACCACCATGGAGGGGGCGATGCTGCCGTACGCCATGGTCGACGCTGAAGATGAAGTGGTGAGAACTTCCCCTCCAAAACTAACACTGACACCCAAACCATGATTACATCCCAATCCTCCACTGTGCATATGAATGGGGGATTTCTACTCCTGCATATTGTCACCACAGGCTGGGTTTCCATAGTGATTTTGATTTAATTCTCAGTTAATTTAGTAGTAAGTACAGTTTAAAAAAGTACACTCCGAGGATAATACTTTAAAGTATCACACAACACTTATTTCCAATTCCAATATGGTTCTTGAATTTTCACACACTAACACATCCCATGTTGTGTTGCAGGTTGAGGAAGCTGCTATGGTGGTGGAGGATGACATCCCTGTGGAGGCAGCTAGTACTCCAGGAGTCCTGAGGAACCTGTCAGCCTGGAGCATCACCATCCCCTACATTGACTTCTACGATGACGAGGTGAAGAAGGAGAGGGTCCCCGTGTTCTGCATCGATGTGGAACGCAACGACATGAAGGAAGGTGAGGGCATGGACAGAGCTGTTTATGAGGAAGTCCCAAATGGCACCCTATTCCCTACACAGTGCACTACTTTTAGGGTGCCATTTTGCATGCACAATGTATGTGTTTTATGAATAATGTGTGTGGGGATTGGGAAATATAAAACTGCAGTGTTGATGTTGGCTTTCAATTGTGTTGATTCTTGAGTGTTTTTTTTTTTTTTTCCTGTTTCAGTGGGACATGAAACGGAGGACTGGTCCATCTTCAGAAGATACATGGAATTCTACGTTCTAGAAAATAAACTCACAGAGTTCCATGGTAAGACAACATTGTGTACTTTCTCACACATTTCTTTAGAGGAAGTGTACCTTTTTGGCTTTGCCATTTCTGTAATCCTGTGCTTAGTAGATGTGACCAGAGTTTCAGTTACCTTTTTTCACATTTGTTATGTGTCACTGGTAGTTTTGAACTTGTTCTCTTTTGCACAGGCTCATTTGCAGATGCACAGCTCCCTTCCAAAAGAATTATTGGACCAAAGAACTATGAGTTCCTATCATCAAAGAGGGAAGAATTTGAGGAGTATTTGCAGGTATTCTTAATCACTGAGTGTACAAAACATTATGAACACCTGCTCTTTCCATGACATAGACTGACCAGGTGAAAGCTATGATCCCTTATTGATGTCACCTGTTAAATCCACTTCAATCAGTGTAGATGAAGGGGAGGAGACAGGTTCAAGAAGGTTATGGTAGTAGGTGCCAGGCGCACCTGTTCGTGTCAAGACCTGCAACACTGCTGGGTTTTTCACGCTCAACAGTTTCCCGTGTGTATCAAGAATGGTCCACCACCTAAAGGATATCTAGCCGACTTGACACAAATGTGGGAAGCATTGGCGTCAACATGGGCCAGCATACCTGTGGAACGCTTTCGACACCTTGTAGTCCATGCCTCGAGTAATTGAGGCTGTTCTGAGGGCAAAAGGGTGTGCAACTCAATATTAGGAAGGTGTTCTTAATGTTTTGTACACTGTGTACGTAGGCCTGTTGCTCTGTAGTGTGTAGTATACAGTAACTGTAGTACCTATACAGTTCTATGAAATCAAACTACTACAATACAATATGTCTGTGATCTGCGTGTGTGTCTGTGTGCGTGTCTGTGTTGTAAACAGAGACTGCTGCAGCACCCAGAGCTGAGTAACAGTCAGTTGTTAGCAGATTTCCTGTCACCTCACAGCATGGAGACTCAGTTCATGGACAAGATGATGCCTGATGTCAATCTGGGTATGGAGCATCGAATAACACTAATTTATAATGTATAACACAAGGAGCACTAAAAATGCATAGGATGCATGCCAAATGGCACCCTATTTCCCATATAGTGCACTACCTTTGACCAGAAGTAGTGCAATGTATAGGGAATAGGATGCCGTTTGGGATGCATCCTTAATAACCCACACATTCATACAGAATGTATAACACAAGGAGGCCTAAACATGCCCTGGAGAAATATACGAGAAATGAATTGATGAATAGCTATGTAGCTCCATGTGGAGCCATGTTGATTCATTGATTTTATTCCTTCTCAGGTAAAATATTCAGGTCTGTCCCTGGAAAAATTATAAAAGAGGTAAGAGGCATTTATCCAATGGGATTTTAATAGTAGAATATCTCTTTGGATATACTGTAGTTAGTCCCTGAAACTATTCCACTCTTAAATAAAGAATATATGATCAGACAATGGTGTTGCAGACCTTCCGGCTCAGTGGTCTGATATTAATCACGATGTTCTGTCTGCTTCCTCTGCCTGCCAGAAAGGACAGAACCTAGAGCCTTTCATCCAGTCCTTCTTCAACTCTTGTGAATCTCCCAAAGTCAAACCCAGCAGGCCTGAGCTGACCATCCTCAGCTCTACTGCTGAGGCCAACAAGAAGGTCAGCTATGGTTGCAAAATTCCCTAAACTTTCCCCAAATTCCCTGGTTTTACCTAAGTTACAATCACTGTGCAAAACTCCATCTGTCCTGAGTCCACTTGTCCTATACACCCCTCCCATCCATCTCAGCTATATGTAGGGATATATCTTGCCTCAGTGGACAGCCTTAATCCCTGATTATCTCCTTAGCCCTGCTCTCTGCCAGGATGTTCTCACTTATGTCAGAACGATAAATCTTTACACACTCCTTCCCAGAAACAGAGAATGTTCCGGTCATTCCAGGGTTTATCACTTTTGGAAGAACATATTCCACTGAAACTGTGCATATAAAAAACTATTTTGATCAGTAAGGATGTAAGACAGTGTTAGTAAGAAGATAGCTTGACTGATTGCCCTGTAGCTCTGAACTGCCTTGACAGTTGTGTATATTTTGTAGTATTTCATTCCTTGTCAATATAAGGATTGTGTCCCTTCCTATCTCCCTAGCTCTCCAATGACCTGTACAAAAACAATGCTAATCTGTCTAAGACACTGGAGACTCATAACCGGAACTACTTTATGGAGATGATTGCAGTAGAAGGGATGTATGACTACATGATGTTTATGGGTAAGTGACCAGGCACAAGTAGTAGTTCCCTTTCACAGAAGAACTGAACCATGAAATGTGTTATGTTCCCCCAGCACTCAAACAGAAGGGGGAACTAACAACGGGTCACTGACAACAACCAAAACAAATAGGTGGGGTTTTAGGAGTTCTGAAAGACACTCATGGGGATGTCCACAGAAAGTTGACTAGCAACAACAACTGGAACCTAAGACACTCGCCATGAGCGCCCACAAAATGTGCCGAAGAAGCAAACAAAAGAAAAACTGACACCAAATGTAATAATAGGAAACAAATCAAAGCGGTGGAGCAAAACGAAATCAGATAAAGGATTGTTTGTCTAAAAATCAAAATAGGAAGACCAAACTAAAGGTGTTGACCCTCCGCATCTATCAAGACAACTGGAGCACTGGGCCAGCCACTCTTAAATAGCACCTGGGCCAGCACAGGTGAAACACCTTCCCACTAACGAGATGGCAACCAGCACAGGTGTAACCCATACTGACTAACGAGGTGACACCAATCGGTGCGCCCTACATGCTAACGAGCTATACATGCTCAAGTCCAACATCAAAACATAAATGGAAAAACAAAAACCTGTAACACCTTCCCCCTTAAGACAACAAATATATCCTACTTCAATCTCACAACATAATCAACCTAAAAGTCTTGCCTTCTCCAATATAAACTGGCCGTAAATCATTAAATACAAGACAAAAACAGCCACTTTTTTGGGCAAAGGACCAATACAGTCCACCAGAACCCTGCTGAAAGGTTCGTCAAAAGCAGGAATAGGCTGCAAAGGTGCAACCGGCACAGCTTGATTCGGTTTACCCGTCCGCTGGCAAATGCGACAGGATTTACAGTAAGCCACAACATCCTGTTTCAGACCAGGCCAGAAGAAGTTATGCAAAATACGGTCATACGTCTTGTTGACCCCAAGATGGTCTACCATTCTACCATTGTGAGACAACCTCGGTATCTCTTGTTGAAGTGTAACTGGAACGACAATTTGAGATACACTGTGGCACGAGAACGCCACTTCCCCACTCGAACACCATCTCTGTCAAAGTAACCCACACTAACTTCCTCAAACTCCTCCTCTGGATGTATTCCAGCAAAAATAAGAGAGGGAAACATCTTCACTCTGTTCTGCAATCAGCTGCTTTCTAAACAGATCGTCCATGGTGGGATCACTGACATCCTCCTCCACACTAGACTTGCTCCCGGCGACTTTCTTAGACATAGCACATGTAATGGCACACGATGGGAACACGCTAGGGTACTTTTCTGATAACCCATCAGGTTCCTCTACTCTGGGTTCCTTACAAACTACAGGTTTTGGCACGGCCTTCCCTCCAGCCAAATCGTTTGCCAAAATGAATGAGGCCGCCGTCAACGGAACTAGAAATAAGATCAGACTCGAGTTCCACATTATACAAAATAACTTCCATACAACCCATCTCTACACCTTGTACTAACACACTGTAACCAGTTGCTGTAATGGAGAACTGGAGTTGGGAAACACTGATTTAGCAGACTCTCTTATCCAGAGCGACTTACAGGAGCAGTTAGGGTTGAGTATTGTCTTGCTGAAGGGCACATTGACAGATTTTTCAACTAGTCGGCTCGGGGATTCGAACCAGTGACCTTTCGGTTACTGGTCCAACACTCACCTTGTGCAAGTGAATCCAGAGTTTTATTTAGGGGGTTTTAGCACTACCAGTGATGGCCACTACAGTGTGTGTCATAATAGAAAGGCTTTACTATGGTTTGCGTATCCTGACTGTCAGACGCACACGTTGACCAGTCATGTTGTGTTTGATGGACAGGTCGAGTCATGTTCCACATGCCAGACTGGTTGCATCACATTCTTTCAGGGGGGCGGATCTTGCTTAAGAACACGTTGGAGGCCTACATGGATAACTACATTCAACACAAACTAGAGATGATCCTGCAGGAGCACCGTGTGGTGTCTCTCGTCACCATGCTCAGAGGTACTGTGTGTGTGTGTTTGTTTGCCTCTCTCCGTGTGTGTCTGTCTGTTTCTGTGTGTGCGTGTGCGAGCGTGCGTGTGTGCGAGCGTGTGTGTGTGTTCCTTCAGTAACGCATCCTTCATACACCTGACTGTTTTGTTGACGTTCTCCCCCAACCCCTCCTATTTTCTTCCTAAGGCTCCACCAAAGGTTTTGAGGGCAGCATACAATCACTGTAGATGTGCTGTTCTTCAGTGCTCATCCAAATCCAAACACTATTGTTTGTTATCCCATGTCCATTGAGGTCTGGGATTGCCCTGCTTTACTTAATCCACCTCTCCTAAACTCATAATTACATTTTCTGCCCAATTTCAGATGCTGTGTTCTGCGAGAACAGTGAGGAACGCACCACAGGAGACGAGCAGAGAAGAGCCAAGAAGGCATTTGAAGAGATGATGAATTATCTGCCAGGTTAGACCCAGGTTTTGGCTGACTATTAATATTTTCTCTTCTCAATAGTTTTATTTTGCCATATTCATCTGCTTTAGACAGTTGCACAGATACAGTATGCACTGTTCTACACACGATGTACAGCTCTCAGCATGATGCATTCATGTGTCTTACATGTGTTATGCTGCGTTCAAGACAACTTGGAACTCGGAAATCTCCGACATCCGACTTCAATACGTTCAAGACAACTGGGAACTTGGAGGGGGGGGGACAAGCTCTGACTGGGAAAAATTGTTTTGAGCGGTCATCCCACTCGGAATTCCAAGTCGGAAACTCTGGGATCATCCTAGACAGTTTCCTCCAATCCCAGATATTTTCCATTGCAGAAACATTCCAGTTTCACCAATCAGTACCATTGATGGCAAAGGCAGATAACATGGGCCTCAGTTCAGCTGTACTGTATTGATGCGTCTTTCTGTCTTTTCACCTTGCAGACTTTGTGGAAAAGTGCATCGGACAGGAGGCCAAGTACGAGGGCATCCGACTTCTCTTTGACGGCTTCCAGCAGCCACTTCTCAACAAGCAGGTAAAGCTGAAAGCCAAACATGAAGACAAAATAATAGCTTCTGTGCAGCCAAGGTCTCATGGGACATTAACTGTTTTCTCTCCTCTTGTTTCTGTCTTTGGCTCCCCTCAGATGACTTACGTTCTGATGGATATTGCTGTCGAAGAACTCTTTCCAGAACTCAGCAAGGTAAACTCCTGAGAATCAGCTATACACAGGGAAACCATTTGTAATACATTTGTCATAATATGTATGCTTACTTGTTACTAGAACGTAATTACTGTGTTGTATACGGTAGCTGCGTTCTTTAAAAGGAAACTGGCCAGATTCTGTTTCTTATTCTGTTAGCTAAAGAAGTTACTGTGTATTTGCTTGTATTACACCAATAAATTACAAGTTAAACTGTTACCAAACACAGCTTTAGATATACAGTGCCTTGCAAAAGTATTCAGACCCCTTGGATATCTTCACATTGTATTGTGTTAAAATGTTTGTTTGTTTTTTGGGGGGGGGGGATTAATTTATAAAATGTAATCAAATATAGTCATTGCATAAGTATTCAGCTCCCTGAGTCCATACATGTTAGAAACTCCTAAGCAGCAACTACAGCTGTGAGTCTTCTTGGGTAAGTCTCTAAGAGCTTTGCACACGGCGATTGTACAATATTTCCTTTTTTCCCCCCCCAAAATAAATCTAAATATTCTTCAAGCTCTGTCAAGATGTTGGGGATCATGGCTAGACAGTCATTACAGTCTTGCCATAGTATTTCAAGCAGAACTGTAACTTGGACACTTAGCAGCGACCACAATGCTTGAAAATAAGGAGGCAGTTTCTCAGTGATGTGTTGTGTTGGATTTGCCCCAAACATAGGGCTTTTGCATTTAGGGCAAAAAGTGTATTCCTTTGCCATGTTTTTTTTGCAGTATTACTTTAGTGCCTTGTTGCATACAAGATGCATGCTTTGGAATATTTTGAATATTTGTGTTCTTTTCACTCTGTCATTTAGGTCATTATTGTGGAGTCACTACAATGATCCATCCTCAGTTTTCTCCCATCACAACCATGTAACTCCATTTCTGTTTTAAAATCACCAATGGCCTCATGGTGACATCCTTAAGCAGTTTCCTTCCTGTCCTGCAGCTCAGTTCAGAAGGACGACTGCATCTTTGATGTGTCTGGCTGGTTTAATACATCATCCACAGCATAATTATTAACAAGACCAGAGGTGGGCAACCCTGGTCCTGGAGGGCCACAAGCACTTCATGTGTTTGATTTAACCGACCTGGAAGACCAGGTGTTTTGAATTTAGGCAATCACTGAACTGATCAATTAGCTCAGTTGGTCAGGTGTGGTGCGTAGTTGGAACAAAATGCTGCAGTACCTGCGGCACTCCAGGAACAGGGTTGCCTACCCCTGAACTAGACCATGCTGTGTCTGGGTGGTTTAATATACTGTATAATTCACAGCATCATTATTAACTAGACCATGCTTAAAGAGATATTCAATGTCTGATTTGTTATTGTCATCTATCAATCACTGCCCTTCTTTATGAGGCTTTCAAAAATCTCCCAGGTTTTTATAGTTGAATCTGTGCTTTAACTGTGCAATACTTGACTGAGGGACCTTACAGATGTTGTATGAATGGGGGACAGAGGAAAGGTTAGTCATTTAAAAATCATGTCAACCCCTATAATTTCACACAGTGAGTCCATGTAACTTTTTATGTGAAATGTTAAGCAACATTTTACTCCTGAACTAATTTAGGCTTGCCTGAACAAAGGGGCTGAATACTTATGCAACGACTATATTGTTATACAGTGAGGGGAAAAAAGTATTTGATCCCCTGCTGATTTTGTACGTTTGCCCACTGACAAAGAAATGATCAGTCTATAATTTTAATGGTAGGTTTATTTGAACAGTGAGAGACATAATAACAAAAAAATCCAGAAAAACGTATGTCACAAATGTTATAAATTGATCTGCATTTTAATGAGGGAAATAAGTATTTGACCCCCTCTCAATCAGAAAGATTTCTGGCTCCCAGGTGTCTTTTATACAGGTAACGAGCTGAGATTAGGAGCACACTCTTAATCTTAGCTTGTTACCTGTATAAAAGACACCTGTCCACAGTAGCAATCAATCAATCAGATTCCAAACTCTCCACCATGGCCAAGACCAAAGAGCTCTCCAAGGATGTCAGGGACAAGATTGTAGACCTACACAAGGCTGAAATGGGCTACAAGACCATCGCCAAGCAGCTTGGTGAGAAGGTGACAACAGTTGGTGCGATTATTCGCAAATGGAAGAAACACAAAAGAACTGTCAATCTCCCTCGGCCTGGGGCTCCATGCAAGATCTCACCTCGTGGAGTTGCAATGATCATGAGAACGGTGAGGAATCAGCCCAGAACTACACCGGAGGATCTTGTCAATGATCTCAAGGCAGCTGGGACCACAGTCACCAAGAAAACAATTGGTAACACACTACGCCGTGAAGGACGGAAATCCTGCAGCTCCTGCAAGGTCCCCCTGCTCAAGAAAGCACATATACAGGCCCATCTGAAGTTTGCCAATGAACATCTGAATGATTCAGAGGAGAACTGGGTGAAAGTGTTGTGGTCAGATGAGACCAAAATCGAGCTCTTTGGCATCAACTCAACTCGCCGTGTTTGGAGGAGGAGGAGGAATGCAGTCTATGATCCCAAGAACACCATCCCCACCGTCAAACATGGAGGTGGAAACATTATGCTTTGGGGGTGTTTTTCTGCTAAGGGGACAGGACTTCACCGCATCAAAGGGACGATGGACGGGGCCATGTACCGTCAAATCTTGGGTGAGAACCTCCTTCCCTCAGCCAGGGCATTGAAAATGGGTCGTGGATGGGTATTCCAGCATGACAATGACCCAAAACACACGGCCAAGGCAACAAAGGAGTGGCTCAAGAAGAAGCACATTAAGGTCCTGGAGTGGCCTAGCCAGTCTCCAGACCTTAATCCCATAGACAATCTGTGGAGGGAGCTGAAGGTTCGAGTTGCCAAACGTCAGCCTCAAAACCTTAATGACTTGGAGAAGATCTGCAAAGAGGAGTGGGACAAAATCCATCCTGAGATGTGTGCAAACCTGGTGGCCAACTACAAGAAACGTCTGACCTCTGTGATTGCCAACAAGGGTTTTGCCACCAAGTACTAAGTCATGTTTTGCAGAGGGGACAAATACTTATTTCCCTCATTAAAATGCAAATCAATTTATAACATTTTTTGTTGTTATTCTGTCTTTCACTGTTCAAATAAACCTACCATTAAAATTATAGACGTATCATGTTTTTGTCAGTGGGCAAACGTACAAAATCAGCAGGGGATGAAATACTTTTTTCCCTCACTGTATATATTTTTTTATTAATCTAAAAGAAGGATCACATTTTTCTTAAACTTAGTCATTCGAGTATTTTGTAAATATTGTTGACAAAAAAATTATAATGAAATCCATTTTAATCCCACTTTGTAACACAATAAAATGTGAAGAAATCCAAGGGGTCTGAATACTTTAGCAAGGCACTGTATATCGTATTTAACTTAAGCATCTCTCTGCCATAGGGCCCCTGAAAGTTAAACACTCACTTTGTGTTTCAACTAGGGGGTAATCAACCGGATGTCTTCTCCAAACTATTTAGACATTTTATAAATGAAGTGAAAGTAGAAAGGTAACAAGATGTAGGTTGTGTACCTCCCTGCTGATATGTACCATGGTGATACTGTATGTTGTCTCTTCAGCAGGGACAGGGGGAGCCGTCAGCAGACAGTAACCAGTGAATTTAGATAACAGCTTGCTTCCCATCCCTGGAGCCAAAGTGCAATATACTTAGCAAATTCTAATGTCTCTGGGAGCATATATCAACATTCCACTGTATAATAATGCATTAATAAAAATATATTTATTGATTTTACTGGGTGGTCAAATGTCATTTGATATTTTGTCTGGCATATTTAACTGCTGGCTGCACACTGGTCCATCTTTAGCTTGATAATGTGTCAATTTTAGATGATGTCTTCCCTTCTCCAAGTGAGATGACTGTTAAAGACCAATTGAATCTGTCTCTGTTTTTGTGTATTTTGTATGGTAACTATAGGTTAATTTGTGTAATTTTACAGCTGAGAAGCAGGTTGGAGCAATAAGCTGAGCTTAGACCTGTTTAGTTTCTCACATCCAATTTGTTTGTCAGTTTCTCCGTTTTCTAAAATGAGGTTGTGTCTTGCATATGACCTAATGTGATTTCCATCTCCCCTCCCTCCTTGGAGACTCATTTCTGCCCTGATAATGTTTTAGTCCACTGTGAAAAGGAGATTCTTTCCATGCAGTGTTCCATGGATATGGTAATTGGCAACACCATGTACATTCCCACTGGTCGGTGCCAGCTGTGTTGGCGCCATCAGTGGAGACTAATAGCTGGCCCCTGTGAATAATAAAGGCTGTGTTTCTGTGGGCAGTCCAGAGACAGAATGGTACTTGTGCTCAGAATACTTCTGTACCCTGTGGCCCTGACACAGTTATGATGAATAGTGAGCGCAGCAAAGCTCAAGGTTACACCACTAACACAAGTTAAAGAGTAACTGAGGGAATTTATGTAATTCTTTCCTTTGAGAAATACTACATTCAATGGAATTACACATGGGAGGCATTTTATAGTTTTGTACTTTTTAGCTCAAGTTCGGCTGTTAAAGCATTGTTACTGTTGAATTGTTACAGTTGGTGATCAGTTTTTATATGCAAAAATAGCTGCTAGACGTTGAAAAAACAGTAAGGAGAACAGTTTGTTCATTTACCTGTATAACCTTGAGGCTTTTGGTACACATCAGTATATTGTACTACTTGTTGCAATATCACAACACCAGATATAAAATGTTACATCTCACAATTTATCATAGTCTATTTAGAAATTACAACTCAGAGAAAAACTCAATTTACATTCCCTCTTTGGTGTACAAAACATTAAGAACACCTGCTCTTTCCATGACAGACTGAACAGGTGAAAGCTAGGATCCTTTATTGATGTCACTTGTTAAATCCACTTAAATCAGTGAATGGGCAAGACAAAATATTGAAGTGCCTTTGAACGGGGTATGTTACTAGGGTGCCAGGTGCACCGGTTTGTGTCAAGAACTGCAACGCTGCTGGGTTTTTCATGCTCAACAGTTTCCCGTGTGTATCAAGAATGGTCCACCACCTAAAGGACATCCAGCCAACTTGGCACAACTGTGGGAAGCATTGGAGACAACATGGGCCAGCATCCCTGTGGAATGCTTTCGACACCTTGTAGAGTCCATGCCCTGACGAAAGGAGGCTGTTCTGAGGGCAAAACGGGGTGCAACTCAATATTAGGAAGGTAATCTTAATTTTTTGTACACAGTGTATTTCTCTAGAATAAACAGACGGGTATTTGACGAAACAAATACAGTACTAATATGATTTTCTACCATCCTATCAAAACATTGGTATGGAGTGAAACCAACTGAAGGAATAATGACCATAGAATAGTTGCTACCTCATTACTTTGAGCGGGTATGCCCTGTAAAGAGAGTTCTCTAAATGTTTACAAATGGTCGATTGCCAACTTATTCATCCCACTTTGAGAGATTATATCTCAGGTCCAAAAGAGCTTCAAAATATTCACGACGCTATTATGAAGCTCTGCGTTTGTATATCCTATCCCATAAACTGAGGGCTCTATTCTATCTGTATCATGGAAATTCAGTGTTACAGCATAATTGACATTTAAAGGCAATGGTCCCCCATTAGCGGAGACTGCATATGTCAGCTCAATCGGAAATAACCATTAAATTTCTATCGCAAAATCTGTAAAGCTTCAGCGACACAGATTGAATAGAGTCCTAATGCTGGTTAAGCAGGCTCTGCCCAGGGCACACACTTAAACAAGCAGCGGTCATCTGTTTCCATCTCTGTTTGAGCATAAACATTCATTTGCTTATGCTGGTTTTCTATGAGGTACTCTAACTGGATTTCAGAACAAGAGCTTGACAGCAACTACTGTACATGAGAGACTTAACAGTGCATAATTTATAGTTTTAGCCATAGGAAAATACATTTACAGTATTTTCCCTGAAGTTTCAATAGCGAATTTTATATCAAACTGCAGTATTTATAAGGAAAAATCTGAGAGCATTGGTGAAATATCCATTCACAATATCCCTGTTCAATTTGTGCTCAACTAGAGTTGAGCTCTTCCCTTGAATGCTGAGAAGAACATATCCAATGTTGAGCTTTGCATCATGATTGCAGCCAGGAATCTCTCATAGTCTCCCAGACAGAGCCATCACTAGCCCCAGCATGATTAACAGAGCCATGTGTCCAGGTCCTCCTGAAGCTGAGTTGGAAATCTTGATACGTCCCTCTACAGCCGGGTGCACCTTCTTCCTCTCAGCAATGTAGCTGGCCACCACCGATATGTCCATGTCACCTGAAAGAGAAACAGACACAGATAGTTTATGTGATGTTAAGAAAACTTAAATTTTCAACCCTTATGCAACAGTTCACCAACATTGCTTGGTCTTATAAGTAATGGTTGTACAACAGAAAATGCCTAAAGGGTTCCTGTTCATAAGGAAGTTGTGAGTCTGCAGAGGAGCTCACCCATAGAGATAGATTGTCTGCGTCGCAAATGGCACTCTTTCCTGTTTCCTATTTAGTGCACTACTTTTGACCATTGCCCTGTTCAAAAGTAGTGCACTATACAGGGAATATGGTACCATCTGCGACACAACCATAGTGTTCTAATCTATTCAGTTCTGTGAGCTCACCGCTGTTATGTGCCAGGTTCTCCTCTTTGATCATGGAGAATCCATCTCCTCCTTCCACCAGGTATGAGGGCATGACCACCTTGTATAGCCTGCTGTCGTCCAGAGGCTCATAGACAGGCACCCGGCAGTCCGTACAGAGCACACTGATACTCCTGGCACGCTCCCCATGGGGCCTCGACATATCATACTCTACATGAAATCCTATTGACATTATACAAGAGTGAAATAAAGTCAGTCCAAAACACAGCGGGAGACCAAACACCTGTCCTCATTCCTCTCCCTCATGCAGTTTCCTCAATCTGTTGCAGGACCTAATTTATATGTAACCAATATGTAACAAAAGTTAAATTCAATAAAGGTGCACAGGCTCTTGGGGATAGACAGCTACTAGACATACAGTGGCTTGCGAAAGTATTCACCCCCCTTGGCATTTTTCCTATTTTGTTGCCTTACAACCTGGAATTAAAGTAGATTTTTGGGGGGTTTGTATCATTTGATTTACACAACATGCCTACCACTTTGAAGATGCAAAATATTTTTTATTGTGAAACAAACAAAAAATAAGAAAACTTTCCTGAAAACTTGAGCGTGCATAACTATTCACCCCCCCCGGTCTTCATGGTGCCGCTTGCTTGGTGGTGTTGCAGACTCTGGGGCCTTTCAGAACAGGTGTATATATACTGAGATCATGTGACACTTAGATAGCACACAGGTGGACTTTATTTAACTAATTATGTGACTTCTGAAGGTAATTGGTTGCACCAGATCTTATTTAGGGGCTTCATAGCAAAGGGGGTAAATACATATGCACGCACCACTTTTCTGTTATTTATTTATTAGAACATTTTTTAACAAGTTATTTTTTTAATTTCACTTCACCAATTTGGACTATTTTGTGTATGTCCATTACATTAAATCCAAATAAAAATCAATTTAAATTACAGGTTGTAATGCAACAAAATAGGAAAAATGCCAAGGGGGAAGAATACTTTTGCAAGGCACTGAGTGTTCCACTTCAATCAGTGTAGATGAAGGGGAGGAGACGGGTTAAAGAAGGATTTTTAGGCCTTGAGACAATGGAAACATGGATTGTGTATGTGTGCCATTCAGAGGGTGAATGATCAAGACAGACTTAAGTGCCTTTGAATGGGGTCTGGTAGTAGGTGCCAGGCACACTGGTTTGTGTCAAGAACTGCAACGCTGCTGGGTTTTTCACGCTCAACAGTTTCCTGTGTGTATCAAGAATGATCTGTGGGGACTGTGGGGGAGTCTTGGATGGTTGAGGGGCAGCTCTCGCGGGGAATTGTGGGGGGATCTTGGATGGTTCGGGACCCCGATTCGACTGAGTGGGGGATCTGTCGACGTGCCCTTGGGCGGGGCGCTTGACCCTGGTTGCTCCTGTGGGTCGCTCTGGATGGGAGCTTCTGCTAGATGACAATGATATTACTGCACTGTCGGAGCTAGAAGCACAAGCATTTCGCTACACCCGCTATAGCATCTGCTAAACACGTGTATGTGACAAATAAAATTTGATTTCATTTTATTTGAATGTAATGTAAATGTTGAGCGGCTTCACTGCAGGTAGATTGTATGTTAAAAAAAAATTAAGATTGGTCCACCCCTCAAAGGACATCCAGCCAATTTGACACAACTGTAGGAAGCATTGGAGTCAACATTGGCCAGCATCCCTGTGGAATGCTTTGACACCTTGTAGTCCATTCCCAGACGAATTAGGCTGTTCTGAGGGTGTATGTGCCCCTGCATGATGTCATATTGTGACCCTCTGTACCAATGAAAATAAAACAGTGTCTGATACCTGATACTTGAAGGAATTCCCCTGTGTTCCCTCCATATCTCCTAACAGAGTGCTCAAAAGCCTTCCTCAGAGTGGATCCCTTCAGCTGAACCAGATCATAGGTGCCTCCAAACGGCAACACAGCAATGAGGTCTTCCATCGTGATGGAACCTAAGAAAAGACATTTCACTCAGTTTCCTCAGCCATTGTTGGAGTTTATTCTCTTTCTTAAACACACAGGGCCGGTTTCCTGGACACAGATTAAGACTAGTCCTGGAGAAATTGAAAAGGATGTTTAAGTCCAGGATTATGCTTAATCTGTGTCCAGGAAACGGACCCATAAAGGCACACACACTCACCATTTCGACTTCGTTCATCTATGGATGACCGTATCGCTCCCCCTTGGAGGATGCAGGAGCTAACATGGTTCCACTGAAGCTCATCTGCATATTTAATGTTGTGGTGTACCTACAGAGAAAAAACAGAGAGGATTTCATCAGTAGGCTACAGACTGGCCCATAAGTACCTGGTTTGGTTAGCTTTCCTGAATACTTCTAACTCACCATAGCGTCACAGATTAGATTTCCCAGGTTGCACTCACGGAACCTGCACTCTTCAAACGTTCCATTGAGATACACCAGGGTCTCCCCCACATACTGGGAGGAGTAATTTGCAAGGGCCTTTTTCCACTCGTTGACTTCAGCAAGAATACTGGGGTCTGACAAGACGAAATCATATGCAGTTACTATATACTCCATACAATATAAGAAGTCTAATGCGTGTGTACATTATAATGATCCTGATAGTGATAATAACAGTGTTGACGTTTTCAATAAGAAAAACTAGCAGATCGGTAACATGGTGAACTCATACTTATCATTGTCTTAAGATACAGTAACAGTGGACAGAGAGAGATACTACTGATATACTACAGTATAAATCAAGTATCACCATGCACTACAAGTATACAACTACTGTTTATCACCATGCACTACAAGTATACTAATATATTCCCATGCACTACATTCTACGCAGGAAACACTTATTATTTTCACAGTTATTTCACAAGTGATAATTTAACAACAGTCACAGCTGATGCAATCGGAAGTCCATTTCACTGTGTACGTCCCAAATGGCACCCTATTCTCTATGTGCCCGGGAAGTAGAACTACTTCCTTGACAGGACTAGAGGCAGAATTTATGTCCTTTGATTGGACATAAAACAGGCTACGTTGTTATGGAGTTTCTATGGTGCTGAGGTCAGAGGGAAACCTCTGGCGCTTTCATTTACATTTCCACTCTGTTGTTGATACTTGATTTCACTGTTGGATCACTTGTGAGGAGGGAAAACTGTGAAGACAGCCAGGGACACATGCATGTTCAGTTCTGGAATAAATCCACTGTAGGTTCCACAATTCCTTACAAAAACATATGACAGTTTTACCAGATGCAGGTGTTCTGAAGAAAGGGCGCCTATGGGTCCTGGTCAAAAGTTGTGCACTATATAGGGAATAGGGTGCCATTTAGGACACACTGACTCTCAACTTCCCCTCATGTTACTCAGCAGTACTGTACTCACCCTCTGGTACAGAGCTGTCCAGCAGGATGGGGTTGCCTGTTGACTGGAGCACGTTGCCAGTTTCGTCAAACGTCACCTTGAGGTAACCCAGATATTTCCCAAAGGCAAAGGCCTGCACCACAGGGACGTCCCGCCCATCATCTGACCTCACTATGACCGGGTAGGGACCTGCCGGGACCTCGGAGGAAGGCTGTTCTCCTAGAAACAGTGAATGTAAACAATGGAATTAATTAACATTGTTAATATCAGTCATAATTTGCATTGTAATCATGCGTAACAGCTTTGCAATTATACAACGCCTAAATGACTGTGGGGTGAATAAAGATTCAATACAGTCTTCTTGCATTGCTACTATCTGTGCTTTCCCACCACATCAATTAAAGCCTGAATTACACAGACAGGGCCTGTAGTTAAGTGAACTGTATAGGCCTCCATTCAAAGGGAATCCTTATAGCAATCACTTAATCCCTCTCTTAGTCCCTCCCTTAGTCACTTAGTCCTCTCTGGCTCAATTTAACCCACTCTCTTATTGAATGTGCATGCGTGGGAACCAGACAGTTTAATGGCCCTAACGAAACATTCCAACATGAATCATGGCTGCTGCTGTGGAAAAAGTGCTTAGCAGCACAGCTGAAGCTAACAAAGAGCGAGGCTATGACTGGCATCACCGGAGAGCAGATAAGAAAAGTGGCAGATACTCATCGTTTCAGCTTTTTAAAATTGCACTAACTAAGGATTAGGTGGTCTCAATCATAGGCCAAGAGCTGCTGGGGCATAAAATACATACATCTACTGCATGTGTAACAGAAACAGCATGGTGGGTTTGTTAGCTGAGCTATTAGTAGACCTACTTCCTTGACATAAAACATGCTCGTTGTTTTGAAGTTTCTACGGTGCTGAGGGAAACCTCTGGCGCTTACATTTACATTTCCAGTCTGTTTTTGTTACTTGATTTCACTTGTGAGGAGGAAAAACTGTGAAGACAGCCAGGGACCCAGGAACACATGCATGTTCAGTTCTGGAATAAATCAACTGTAGGCTCCTTACAAAAACTATGACAGTTTACCAGATGGTGTTCTGAAGAATTACAGTGGCTAGCTACTATGATTGTAAATAACTAAAGTAGTCTATAGTAAACATTAGGCACACCTGTGTACAGAAAAGTGTTACTGTGTCCTCCGATGACCACATCCACACCCTTTACCCTTCTGGCTATTTCTTTATCTGTAACGAAGCCAGAGTGACCAAGGGCGATGATCATGTTGACCCCCAAAGTGATTAGTTTGTCAACCTGGGGCTGGAGGGCATCAATCTCATCCTCAAACACTAAGTTAGGTCCTGCAACAGAAAAAAGGTTTTACACCAGGGAAATGCTCAAATGTAGCTACGTAGGGAAAGGCATTCTTAAAATCATATTTGCTCCAAGACAAAAATATGAAGCAAATATGAAGCAACCTGGACAGAGTGATCAATATGGATTATTGTGAGGAGAGAATGCATGAATATGAATAACAATGTAATAAACGAAGCTCAATAGAGGAAAAGAGGATAGAGGGATTTAGGGGAAGAGGAAGTGACTTTAACAGAGGAAGACAGATAAAGAGGAGCTAAAACTTCAATCAAAACCTCAATCAATTGTACCTGTTTGTGACAGAGCAGGAGTCTCCTTTGATGTGTATCCCACCACGCCCACTTTCTTAGAGTCCACATCAAATACCTTATAAGGGAAATAAAGGCCACTGATATGTGGGGCTTTTGTGTCGTCTGCTTTGATGTTAGCACTGAGGACTGTGCACTTCACCTCCTGGAGAAACGGCTTGATAAGTCCCTCCACTTTATTGTCAAACTCGTGATTCCCCAGAGCCTATAAAGGTAGTTCAAAACCACAGGAGGCTGCTTAGGGGAGGACGGCTCATAATAATGGCTGAAACAGAGTAAATGGAATGGCATCAAACACATGGAAACCATGTGTTTGATGTATTTGATACAATTCCACCGATTCCGCTCCAGTCATTACCACAAGCCCATCCTCCCCAATTAAGGTGCCACCAACCTCCTGTGTAATCAAAACAAAGGTAAAAGTCATCCACAATATTTCACCTGTTAACAAAGTGTGCAACAAATCAGCCATACTGTTCAATAGTTATTGTGCTGCCAAGTTCATCTTAGAAAACAAACAGACATATTTGTAGATTAGTATATCTAATCGAATCGAATGAAATGTAATATTTGTCTTCATCTAATGTCTCTGCCACAGGCTTTGACCTCACCTTGTTAGCGAAGCCTAGGAGCAGAGGCTACATGTCTACTAACAACCGATGGAATGAAAAACATCTCTGTGATTGGACATATCTTGTATTTATACATTACTAATCAGTGTCCTCCTGGGGTAGGCTTCCTGACCATTATATGAAGATGCCTGGAATTATTCCCGGGCCAGTGTCCCACTGGGAATTGTAGTCCTTTTTTTAGTCAGGCTTTCAATTTAGGCTACTGCTGTTGAGAGTTTTATTGTAGAATGCACAACATAAAATTACAAAATGTGGTAGTGCATGGGCAGTTTTCCTCTTGCTATCTCATTCACTGACAGACCTTAGAGAGGTTTTTTATAAACTCTCAGAAATGTTCAGTAGATCAACTACCAGCCCATGTTAACTAGTTAGGCTAACCAGCTATCTAAATCGTGTAGTTATCATTGACAGATTGTGTGCCCAGAGTCCTCGAATGCCAGGGGGCCCCTATTGATTCTGTCACTCAGGTATGTTTCTAAGCCGATAAATTACATTATCTATCAGGACCTTTGCCACCCAGGAAATGTGTGTGACTGGACCTTCTCAAATAGTAGTTGAGTACCTGAACACTAGCCCATATTTATATTCATTCATATCCAACTAGGATTAAACGGTTTACCATTGCATCGTAGCCAAGTCTGTTCATAAAATGTGCAGCCTCTGCTCCCTTATAGACATTAAACCAAACGGTTCCTTGAAATTGATCGCCTGCATCCAGCAGCATCACATTTTTCTCTCGGCTCCGTATCTCCTGTATTTTCGTAAATCTCCGTGCCACCCCAGAAAAACACGGAGGCTTAGTGCATTTGCCGGAGTCCTTGTTTGTCTCCTCAACCCGTGCGTGGACATCGTTGGTATGAAGCAGCGTGAGTTCCCACTCTTCAGTACAAACATGACTACAGATGCTGAGGTAGAATAAAATACTAACTGTAAGTCGCTCTGGATAAGAGCGTCTGCTAAATGACTTAAATGTAAATGTAAATGTACACTTCACCAGTTCACGCACTCCCATTGTATCTGCTCGTTGACAGCGCAGTGTATTAGAACACTGAAGTTCACCCCTACTTTCACTGACTGCACCAGAAGGCGTGGACACTGTTCTTCTCCAATCGGAGCATTTAACCCTCCCGTTGTCCTAGGGTCAAAATGACCCGCCACTGTGTTGAACCAACTTTATTTAATTTTTATATTTTTGGGGATCATTTGTGAGAAGGAGGCAGTGAGACTTTAAAGAAAGTATCACTGCCTCCTTCTCACAAATGATCCAAAAAATATAAAAATTAAATAAAGTTGGTTCAACACAGTGGCGGGTCATATTGACCCTAGGACAACGGGAGGGTTAAAAGAGAGAGAGAGAGAGAGTAATATGGGCAAAAGAGGGCAATATGAGCCTTCCCATGTACACATTCTATAGTTATAATATTATAGTGTCTTCTTGGCTTTTACCACTGATGATTTACAGCATAAGAAGAACATTTCTTCCTATCTGAATTCTTCAATTAAATCACAGCCCACACACTGGATTATGGCATAGCTGCTGGAAGTAGGGGTGCTGAGGGTGCTGAAGCACCCCTGATAAATCACAATAGAAATAAAAAATATATAAAATATAAAAAATGTTCTCGCCAAATTACTGCACTAGGCCTTTATTGCTGCACTAGGCCAAATACACCCCAAAACATCTTCCCGCTGCCAAACTGGTTGGTAACCAGTTTATAACAGCAATAAGGCATTTTGGGTGTTTGTGGTATATGGCCAATATATGTGGTAAATGGCCAATATACCACGGCTAAAGGCTGTATCCATGGCTATATCCTGGGCCAGGGGTGTCAAACGTACGGCCCGCGGGCCGGATCAGGCCCGCAAACGGGTTTAATCCGGCCCGCGAGATGATTTTGGAAAAAAAAATGATTTTTTTTTTGGAAAGTATAAAAATGCAATTTTTCTATAAAATAAACTGCTGTTCCAATTGCGTCCACTGGATGGCGCAATAGCAATTGTGTTAAGCAAGCAAACTGTTTATACCGGGGCAGAGCAAGTAGGTCAAGCACGTGCAGCCAATGAGCTACTTTGTTTTGCCCGCGATATTTATTACGGCTTCTACTTTTAACATTATGTGCTTTGGCACCCTCATTGCCCCAATATGTCTCTGTCAAAAAAGAGAAAAGTGGACGCAGAGTGCAGAGTGTTCCAAGAAAAATGGTCATCCTATTTAATCACGGAATTGAATGGGAAAGCTGTATGTTTGGTGTGTTCAGAGCATGTTGCAGTGCTGAAAGAATATAACCTTCGTCGCCACTATGTGAGTCTTCATGCCAACAAATATGACAACTTTCAAGGACAGCGGAGATGAGAGAAGGTGAATGAACTGTTGGCGGGTCTGAAGAAACAGCAGTCTGTGTTTACTCACAGCCGAGACATCAGTGACACTGCAGTGAAAGCTAGCTACCTCATTGCTAATGAAATCGCAGTGGCTTCAAAACCATTTAGTGAGGGTGAATTTGTAAAAACATGCATGATGAAGGCAGCGGAGATTGTGTGCCCTGAAAAGCGGCAGGCTTTTGCAAATATCAGCCTGACAAGAAACACAGTTGCAGACAGGATTTCCGATCTTTCAGTGGATTTGGACAGCCAGTTGAAGCAAAAAGTAAAGTCATTTATTGCGTTTTCGGTTGCAATTGATGAAAGCACGGACATTACAGATGTTGCACAACTGGCCATTTTTTCATCCGCGGAGTTGATGACACATTGACCGTCACCGAGGAGTTCGTGGAGTTGGTGCCGATGACAGATACAACGACAGCAGCTGATATTTTTACCGCACTCGTCGGCGCGCTGGACAGGGTCGGAGTGGACTGGTCCCGCGCTGTCAGCCTGGCTACAGATGGTGCGCCCTCAATGATCGGGAAAAAAGCAGGCGTTGTGACAAAGTTCAGAGAGAAAGTGCAATCTGCAAATGGAGGACGTGATTTTTTGACTTTTCACTGTATTTTGCACCAGGAGGCTTTGTGTTGCAAGTCATTAAAGATGGATAACGTCATGAAGGTGGTCATCCAAACTGTTAATTTCATCCGATCCAGAAGCCTGAATCACCGTCAGTTTGACAGCCTTCTCAGAGAGAAAGACCACATCTATGGCCTGCCATACCACACTGAGGTAAGATGGTTAAGCCGAGGTGCTGTGCTGAGGCGTTTCTTTGATTTACGAGAAGAAATTGAACAGTTCATGGAAGAAAAGGGCAAACCAGTGTTAGAATTTCATTCCGCAGAATGGATGCCGGACCTTGCATTTATGGTGGATGTTACAGAGCACCTGAATAACTTGAACAAACAGCTGCAAGGGCGCAACAAAGTTGTCACGCAGTATTATGACAGCATACGTTCTTTCAAGTTGAAGCTGTCATTGTGGGAGACGCAACTTGCCGGTGGTGATGCAGCTCACTTCCCCTGTCTGAAAAATGTGTGCGCGACCCAACATGTGGCAGACATGAAGCGGTTCAAAGATAAAATAACGGGACTGTTACGGGAGTTTGAGCAACGCTTTCAGATTTATGTTTATATGTTTTTATGTTGATGTGCTATTGCTTTTAATTGATTTTATTTTATTTGTATATTTAACCTATTCTTGACTCTGTGGTTCTTGCACTTGTTTGGGGAACAGGATTTCATTATTTTTATCTACATTTCTGCCTGAGAAATGACACCCTGATATAGTTCTGTGATCTGTGATATACTTCTGTGAATCACTGAGGCATTGTGTGTTTGTGTGTTCTTTGTCCTCAGAACTTTCAAATAACTTGAGGTGTTTTATGATTAATAGTGATGTTGTGCTTTTGGACACTGTCCTCAGGCTCCAGCTTTATGTTTATATGTTTTTATGTTGATGTGCTATTGTTTTTAATTGATTTTATTTTATTTGTATATTTAACCTATTCTTGACTCTGTGGTTCTTGCACTTGTTTGGGGAACAGGATTTCATTATTTTTATCTACATTTCTGCCTGAGAAATGACACCCTGATATAGTTCTGTGATCTGTGAAACAGTTCTGTTAATCACTGAGGCATTGTGTGTTTGGGTGTTCTTTTTCTTTAGAATTTTCAAATAAACTTGACGTGTTTTATGATTAATAGTGATGTTGTGCTTGTACTATTTTGGACACACTGTCCTCAGGCTCCAGCTTTATGTTGTATGTTGATCGTATTAAAACAAAGAAAACAATCTGAAGTTGTTGTTTTTAAGTTATATATACCATGATTTTTCCGGTCCGGCCCACTTGGGAATAGATTTTCCTCCATGTGGCCCCTGAGCTAAAATGAGTTTGACACCCCTGTCCTGGGCTGTATCCGGCTATGGGCTGTATCCAGGCACACAGTATATGGCCAATATAGCGGTGGTATATTGGCCATATACCACACCCCCTCGGGTCTTATTGCTTAATTGGAACATGCTATACAGCAGTGGTATACAAAGTTGGGGGCGTGACCCCCTAGGGGAACTGCAGTGGGGTCACCCCCCCCCCCAAATAAAAAAATAATAAAAATAATAATAATAGAGTACAGATTATTTTATGGGACAATACAAACGTTTTTGAGAAATATAAATGTAAAAAATAAAATGTTATTAAGTAAAATGTTTTTGTGGTTTCTTTTAATTTTGATAAGAGATGAAAATGTGATGAATTTAAGGTTATTTATTGATGTAAAAGTATACATTCTGGTGGAAAGAATGGGGTCCCCGCTGAAAAAGTTTGAATACCACTGTCAGAGATTTTTTTTATTTTTTTTTATTTACATCTCCCAATAAATATTTATGTTTAAATACCAGATACTCTGTGCCACGTCTGTAAAAACGACAAAGTCTGCAATCTCATCACCACAAAGGGAGGAGGCTATAACCACACTCCTTGCATACTGCTATATTGCTACAATTATTGCTCACAAACACATTTTCTATCTTATGTCTACTGACAGAGGGCTCCCGAGTGGCGCAGCGGTCCAAGGCACTGCATCTCAGTGCTTGAGGTGTCACTACAGACCCCCTGGTTTGATTCCAGGCTGTATCACAACCGGCCATGATTGGGAGTCCCATAGGGCGGCGCACAATTGGCCCATTGTCGTCTGGATTTGGCTAGTGTAGGCCGTCATTGTAAATAAGAATTTGTTCTTAACTGACTTGCCTAGTTAAATAAACAGAGGCGTATAATGTACATGGACTAGAACTACCAGTAATAGTTTGTCTTGGGCTTGAGGTGATATCATAACAAGAGAGCTGGCTACAGTATGCTGGTACAATATGTACTGATGAGTAGGGTAACACATAAGGTTTTTTCTATCAGTGAATCAGAAGTAGCAGTGTGGATGCATCCCAAATGGCACTCTATTCCCTATGTAGTACACTACATCTATTCCCTATGTAGTACACTACATTTGACCAGGGCCCATTTGGGACCAATATTCCCTCTAAGCTGCACTAGAGTTTTCCCTCTTAGTCAACATTTTCAACATTTCCCTTTATTTTGGGAATTATGATTGAATCAACGCAGTATTAGCCACTTTCAATTATACATACCGAAACAAAACGAATTATGCAAGCCTTAGTATGCAAAACTAAATATGCAGAATTCTACAGGAGAATGTCAGACCATCCGTCTGTGAGCTGAAGCTGAAGAGCAGCTGGGTGATGCAGCAAGACAATGATCCAAAACACACAATCAAGTCTACATGAAAATTGCTAAAAAGCAACAAATTGGAAGTTTTGGAATGGCCTAGTCAAAGTCCAGACCTTATCCCAATTGAGATGTTGTGGCAGGACTTGAAACGAGCAGTTCATGCTTGAAAACCCACACGTCACTGAGTTAAAGCAGTTCTGCATGGAAGAGTGGGCCAACATTCCTCCACAGCGACGTGAGAGACTGATCAACAACTACAGGAAGCATTTGGTTGGAGTCATTGCAGCTAAAGGTGGCACAACCAGTTATTGAGCCTAAGGGGGCAATTACTTTTTCACACAGGGGAATTGGGTGTTGCATAACTTTGTTTATGAAATAAATATGTAATTGTTGTGTTATTTGTTCACTTATATTCCCTTTATCTAATATTAGGCTTTGGTTGAAGATCTGATAACATTCAGTTTCACAAATATGCAAAAGTAGAGAAAATTAGAAAGGGGGCAAATACCTTTTCATAGCACTGTACAATCAATTAGTATTTGGTAGCATTGCCGTTAAATTGTTTAACTTGGGTCAAATGTTTCGGGTAGCCTTCCACAAGCTTCCTACAATAAGTTGGGTGAATTTTGGCCCATTCCTCCTGACAGAGCTGGTGTAACTGAGTCAGGTTTGGAAGACTCATCTGCGACCAAGCTTTAACTTCCTGACTGATGTCTTGAGATGTTGCTTCAATATATCCACATAATTTCCCTTCCTCATGATGCCATCTATTTTGTGAAGTGCACCAGTCCCTCCTGCAGCAAAGCACCCCCACAGCATGATGCTGCCACCCCCGTGCCTCACGGCTGGGATGGTGTTCTCCGGCTTGCAAGGGACCCCCTTTGTCCTCCAAACATAACGATGGTCATTATGGCCAAACAGTTCTATTTTTGTTTAATCAGACCAGAGGACATTTATCCAAAAAGCACAATCTTTGTCCCCATGTGCAGTTGCAAACCGTAGTCTGGGTTTTTTATGGCTTTTCGAGCAGTGGCTTCTTCCTTGCTTAGCGGCCTTTCAGGTTATGTCGATATAGGACTTGTTTTACTGTGGATATAGATACTTTTGTACCTGTTTCCTCCAGCATCTTCACAAGGTCCTTTGCACGACTCCAACACCATCATTAAGTTTGCCGACGACACAACAGTGGTAGGCCTGATCACCGACAACGATGAGACAGCCTATAGGGAGGAGGTCAGAGATCTGGCCGTGTGGTGCCAGGACAACAACCTCTCCCTCAACGTGACCAAGACAAAGGAGATGATTGTGGACTACAGGAAAAAAAAGAGGACTGAGCACGCCCCCATTCTCATCGACGGGGCTGTAGTGGAACAGGTTGAGAGCTTCAAGTTCCTTGGTGTCCACATCACCAACGAACTATCATGGTCCAAACACACCAAGACAGTCGTGAAGAGGGCACGACAAAGCCTATTCCCCCTCAGGAGACTAAAAAGATTTGGCATGGGTCCTCAGATCCTCAAAAAATTCTACAGCTGCACCATCGAGAGCATCCTGACTGGTTGCATCACCGCCTGGTATGGCAACTGCTTGGCCTCTGACCGCAAGGCACTACAGAGGGTAGTGCGTACGGCCCAGTACATTACTGGGGCAAAGCTCCCTGCCATCCAAGACCTCTATACCAGGCGGTGTCAGAGGAAGGCCCTCAAAATTGTCAAAGACTCCAGCCACCCTAGTCATAGACTGTTCTCTCTGCTACCGCACGGCAAGCGGTACCGGAGTGCCAAGTCTAGGTCCAAAAGACTTCTCAACAGCTTCTACCCCCAAGCCATAAGACTCCTGAACAGCTAATCATGGCTACCCGGACTATTTGCACTGCCCCCCCACCCCATCCTTTTTACGCTGCTGCTACTCTGTTAAGTATTTATGCATAGTCACTTTAACTCTACCCACATGTACATATTACCTCAACTACCTCAACTAGCCGGTGCCCCCGCACATTGACTCTGCAACGGTACCCCCCTGTATATATAGCCTCCCTACTGTCACTTTATTTTACTGTATATATAGCCTCCTTACTGTCACTTTATTTTACTTCTGCTCTTTTTTTCTCAACACTTTTTTGTTGTTGTTGTTTTATTCTTACTTTTTTTTGTTTAAAATAAATGCACTGTTGGTTAAGGGCTGTAAGTAAGCATTTCACTGCAATGTCTGCACCTGTTGTATTCGGCGCATGTGACCAATAAAATTTGATTTGATTTGATTTGATTTGATTTGCTGTTGTTCTGGGATTGATTTGCACTTTTCGCACCAAAGTACGTTCATCTCTAGGAGACAGAACGCGTCTCCTTCCTGAGCGGTATGATGGCTGCGTGGTCCCATGGTGTTTATACTTGCGTACTATTGTTTGTACAGATGAACGTGGTACTTTCAGGGGTTTGGAAATTGCTCACAAGGATGAACCAGACTTGTGGAGGTCTACAAATATTTTCCTGAGGTCTTGGCTGATTTCTTTTGATTTTCCCATGATGTCAAGCAAAGAGGCACTGAGTTTGAAGGTAGGCCTTGAAATACATCCACAGGTACACCTCCAATTGACTCAAATGATGTCAATTAGCCTATCAGAAGCTTCTAAAGCCATGACATCATTTTCTGGAATTTTCCAAGCTGTTTAAAGGCACAGTCAACTTAGTGTATGTAAACTTCTGACCCACTGGAATTGTGATACGGGGGGTAGGTACAGCCTCAGTGTTCACAGTAAACGCACTCTGGAAGTTGCACAGCATCTTCACAACATTCAAGTTTGCGTTCAGCAGAACATAAATTTGCTCAGTGCCTAAAACAAATAGAAGGAACATTGTTTGGGACACAACCTTAGTGTTTGTAGCCTCACATTAAAATCTCTATTCTTGGCATTGTACGTATTTTCCAGAACAACGGTACACTGAGAACAGCAAGACATTTAGGGCTCTATTCAATCCGTATCGCTGAAATGTTACAGATTTTGTGATACAAAATGTACAGGTAATTTCCGATTAAGCCGACATAAGCAGCGTTTACCGCGAATGCAATCTCCACCGACGCAGGAACATTGCCTTTAAATTTCAATTGGGCTTTAGTGCTGAATTTCGGTGATAAGGATTGAATAGAGCCCTAGCAGTGATCCACTATACTGATAGCCACGCTAGCTTCGCTCTCGTGTGGGTGCTAGCAAGCATGCTAGGTACTGCTAGGTATCAACCCTATGGCCCAAAACTGGTTGAAGCAACATTGTTTCCAAGTTATTTCAACAACAAAAAATCACTGTAATAATGTTGAATCAACATGGAAAACTGATTGGATTTGCAAAAAGTACTCGTATTTTTTTTACCCAACTTTTAACCTTAATCCAATGACATTGTGACCTTTTTGTTGATTTCAAGTTGAATTCACGTTAGTTGAAAACTCAAAACTAGATGTTGAACTGACATCTGTGCCCAGTAGAAACAGCCAATCCAGTAGGGAATTCTCAATGAATAAATCTCTGACTATGCAGACCAGGACTCTGTCCGTTTCTTAAATCCAAAAGACTTACAACCTTTTGGGAGACGCACAGAGACACTGAAATAGTTTGTTAAATAATTCTCATAACAGCTTGGTCCTTCTGAGCCGGAACCCAATACCTGCCTCTGTCATTCCAGGTAACTCTGAAAACCGTCGACGGGTGAATGATACATTCGTAAATAGAAAGTCCTGCCCTTTGACATTAAGGGTTAAGACAGGCCAGAGGACACCTGATTAATGACAGAGATGGTGACGGAATCCAAACCTACATTGAATCTCGGCTTCAAGGATAAGGTCAGTAGTCTTTATTCATTACTTGGTGAAATTGATTTGAGAACTTGCTAAAATATTGACTGAGGGAACGTCATAATTTAAAGTAGCAAATTGATCAATGCGTAGCCATTTTAAGTGAAATGTTGGTGGGTCCGTAACGATTCACGGTAATAGGCCATTACCAAAATAAACTACCCGGTGTTGAAATAGAAGGAACTATTAAAAGTACACCTAAGGGATGTAACCTGTAAGAGATTATATAACAGTCAACAAATAATCCGGGTTAAACAAATACAAAAAGTACACCAGAAGGAATTAAAATAGCATGTGTGAGAAATAGAATATTAGTAAAGTCAAAAGTCACAAACAACTGTAGATTTTGCCGTAACTCTATCCGTTTCATGAAACTGAAGCCTTACAAACTCCGGGTTACCGATAGTGTTAACCAATAATCATGTAAGGTTGTATACGTGTGAGACCTAATATTTGCTCAAAAGTCACATCTATGAATAATTCCAGGTGGTTGTATAGAGAAGAGGGAGAACCCATTCCTGTTGTATGAGACTGTCAGGAATTATCAAGATTACATTGTGGGGATGAATTCCTCCGTAGAGTAGGAGATAATTCTGGGGGACTAGTACCTACAGTGGGGAAAAAAAGTATTTAGTCAGCCACCAATTGTGCAAGTTCTCCCACTTAAAAAGATGAGAGAGGCCTGTAATTTTCATCATAGGTACACGTCAACTATGACAGACAAAATGAGGAAAAAAATTCCAGGAAATCACATTGTAGGATTTTTAATGAATTTATTTGCAAATTATGGTGGAAAATAAGTATTTGGTCAATAACAAAAGTTTCTCAATACTTTGTTATATACCCTTTGTTGGCAATGACACAGGTCAAACATTTTCTGTAAGTCTTCACAAGGTTTTCACACACTGTTGCTGGTATTTTGGCCCATTCCTCCATGCAGATCTCCTCTAGAGCAGTGATGTTTTGGGGCTGTCGCTGGGAAACACGGACTTTCAACTCCCTCCAAAGATTTTCTATGGGGTTGAGATCTGGAGACTGGCTAGGCCACTGCAGGACCTTGAAATGCTTTTTACGAAGCCACTTCTTCGTTGCCCGGGCGGTGTGTTTGGGATCATTGTCATGCTGAAAGATCCAGCCACGTTTCATCTTCAATGCCCTTGCTGATGGAAGGAGGTTTTCACTCAAAATCTCACGATACATGGCCCCATTCATTCTTTCCTTTACACGGATCAGTCGTCCTGGTCCCTTTGCAGAAAAACAGCCCCAAAGCATGATGTTTCCACCCCCATGCTTCACAGTAGGTATAGTGTTCTTTGGATGCAACTCAGCATTCTTTGTCCTCCAAACACGACGAGTTGAGTTTTTACCAAAAAGTTCTATTTTGGTTTCATCTGACCATATGACATTCTCCCAATCCTCTTCTGGATCATCCAAATGCACTCTAGCAAACTTCAGACGGGCCTGGACATGTACTGGCTTAAGCAGGGGGACACGTCTGGCACTGCAGGATTTGAGTCCCTGGCGGCGTAGTGTGTTACTGATGGTAGGCTTTGTTACTTTGGTCCCAGCTCTCTGCAGGTCATTCACTAGGTCCCCCCGTGTGGTTCTGGGATTTTTGCTCACCGTTCTTCTGATCATTTTGACCCCACGGGGTGAGATCTTGCGTGGAGCCCCAGATCGAGGGAGATTATCAGTCGTCTTGTATGTCTTCCATTTCCTAATAATTGCTTCCACAGTTGATTTCTTCAAACCAAGCTGCTTACCTATTGCAGATTCAGTCTTCCCAGCCTGGTGCAGGTCTACAATTTTGTTTCTGGTGTCCTTTGACAGCTCTTTGGTCTTGGCCATAGTGGAGTTTGGAGTGTGACTGTTTGAGGTTGTGGAGAGGTGTCTTTAATACTGATAACAAGTTCAAACAGGTGCCATTAATACAGGTAACGAGTGGAGGACAGAGGAGCCTCTTAAAGAAGAAGTTACAGGTCTGTGAGAGCCAGAAATCTTGCTTGTTTGTAGGTGACCAAATACTTATTTTCCACCATAATTTGCAAATAAATTCATTAAAAATCTTACAATGTGATTTTCTGGATTTTTTTATTCTCAATTTGTCTGTCATAGTTGACGTGTACCTATGATGAAAATGACAGGCCTCTCTCATCTTTTTAAGTGGGAGAACTTGCACAATTGGTGGCTGACTAAATACTTTTCCCCCCCACTGTATACAGGAAGGGGTGATTCCAATTGTTGTGTGAAACTGTTTTGAATAACTTGTTATATAGAAGAGGTGGCTAAGGGATTTTTAACAGTACCAACCATGGGAGGCAAATCCTCACAAGAGGTCCCAGAATTTACTGGGGACGAGAAATACATGGAAATTAGAGACAAACGAAATGTGTATTATTTACCTAATTGGAAGAAAAAAAATGGCTTTACTGGGCGACTTGATGTAATTAAACAGGAATCCATGATTAAACAAATGCATGTAAATTGTGGTACTGATCTAAATTAAACAGAAAAGAGAGTAATTAAACTAGAGTCCATGATTAAACAAATGCATGTAAATTGTGGTAATGATCTAAAGAAATAGAAAAGAGACGAACAGGAGGATTCAGAGCTAAGCTCAGGAGGGAGTCAGTATGAGTCAGGAGATGAGAGAGTAGAAGGGGGCTAGTACCCACTGATAGCCTTACCTAATCTATTGGCGGGGAATGAAAGGGGCCCCAGCAAATTTAGATGTATACAGGCCATGAACACAGAGGAACGTGGCCATAGCGGTAGAAGGAATGACGTACCCAAAAACAGGAATAGTAAGGATTGGGCTGCCGTTAGAGGGCAATGGGTTTCAGGGGATGCCCGGAGGGCACTTTTGCCATGGGCCGATCACGGAGAGTATGTTGGGAAAATAACTGAATAGTGTAATAGCCTCAGAGAACATTACCATCGTCATGCAGACTTCTCTAAAGTACATAAGTGTAAACAAGAGGATAGTGAGACTGTCAGCCAGTACATAGAGAGGGTTAAAGATGTGTTTAACGCAAACAGTGGCATACCCGAGCTAGACCAGAGACAGGGGAATGATACGCCCTACCATCAGCAATTTAAAATATAGCATTCCTCAGTGGAATGAGACCAGAGATAAGCAGGACCATTAAAAATACTTTGATAGGGTGGAGAAAGGCACAGCAACACATATTGAGGTTAAAAAAGTATGCAGTTTACCAAGAGCAGATTGGGAGAGAGAAAGAGGAGTAAGAGAGACCTTAAGGGAGCGCCAACTCTCAGAGAGATAGTGAGGCCAGAACAAAGGAGCAGTGTCCTGGAAATCACAGTCTGTTTTTTTTTTTAGTTCTGCTGGGAGTATATTTGATGATGGGGATTTGTGTTGAATGAGAGGCTAGAGACTTCATAAAATAATAATTGGAATAATAATTATATATTAACTTGCTCACCCAAACGTAGACATACGTCATGGGTGAGACATAATTAATATAATATTGTACAAAGCCAATTTAGGGTTTCCATTAAGGAACGTCAATCACTACATTGGATATTAATACTATGGAGATAAATTCAATATATGCTGGTCAACTACAGCATGTGTTTGGTGTTATTTGTAGCCTACTTAGAAAGGACAGTTACCTATATCTGCTGTATTCTAAACAATGACAGATTGGGGTTTTTATAAGAGGTGGCTATAATTTTAGTCGATAACAGAGGTAATTAGATTTGAGAAATGTTGAAAAGTAATGTTAGATGGAAAGTCAGCAATAGAGGAGAGAGATTGTACAGGGTTTCCTGTGTGAAAAAAAAGTAATAGAAATTGGGTGATGAGAAATGTTGAATTGCATTGTTTAAGCAAGAATGGCATTAAATTCATGCTTTCTAGTTATGTGTATGCAAATATGTTATTCGTTTTTGGTGGTGTGTGGATAGTATTTACTACTGCCAGGATTTAGTAAATGAAGCAGAGAGATGTAGTGAGAGCAGTGGAAGGGATACCCCACCCTAGGACGGGGGTACACCAGTTCAGAAGAGATATGGAAGGGCTGACCGCCAGCTTTAAGCTGAATACAGGGGAACTAGAGAGGGCAGTCAGACAGATAGTGTTAAAGGACTGGGCGGCAGTGAGAGGAAACTGGGTTCCCGGAGATGGGAATGTGCCGGTTCTAGAGTGGGCAGCAGGAGGGGCTTATGGAGATAAATTGGCACAACTCTGATAATCTGAGAGAATATTGTCACAGACATGCCAACTTCTCCAAAGTCCACGAGTGTAAGCAGGGAGACAGTGAGATTATTAGTCAATACCTAGAGAGACTGAGAGATGTGTTCAATGCAAACAGTGGATTTATTAAACAATAGGTTTATATTTTAATAAATTAATGCAACAGGTTTAAATCAGTAGATTAATAGAAAGGAGTTATAGGTTTATATTAGAAGGTGTAGTGAACTTAATGAAACGTGGTATTATACAGTGTCTTCCAGGATTGATGGAAGTCTCCTATAGCATTATGTTAAGGGGATGCCTGGGATAAAATATAATGTCTTACTTACACGGAGTATGTAAGTTTCAATTGTATTGGCAAATGAATGAAATATGACATTTACAGGGGCGACAGGAACAATAGAAGGGGAAACAGATTTTCCTAAGGTGTTGATCAAATAAACGATAATGGATCATTTGATATGGGATCACATGGAGCAGATTTAGGGACTCAATAATCATTGTGAGATTTAAAGAGGATATGATCTGAAGGGTAATCAATTAAACATAATCATTGTATACTCGAGGAATTTTGAGTGGTTTTATGGATTAGTTATGAGGAATTATATTGATACAAACGATTATTGATGAGTTAGGACTGGGGATATCTGTATCATGTTTTGTGTGTACTTACCATCTTTAGATTACTGATGGTAATTGAAGGTTAACTAAATGAATAATTTCTCTTCCAGGAGAAAGAGATTCGCTTATCTCATTGGAATGTTGCCCAGGGATAGGGGGAGCAGTTTAGTGGAGCTACCAAATTAAGTGGGGCCTGGCTATTTTTGGTTGTTGTTTTTCAATTGGGTTTTTCAAATAAAATACAACACACCTAGTATGATGTTAATAAAGGGTTGATATTTCAATTTTAGGGGGGTTTCAACAGGTCAAAGGTGATAAGTCTTAAAGGAGCACACAGTGAATTTTATGGAGTTTTTCTGTTTTGACTGAGTTTAGGGTATATATGATTTCTTATGAGAATAAATGTCATGAGGACTTAATGAACTCTTGGGATAAGTAACATTTATGAAATATTTAGAATGATGGTAATGTTTAGTATACTATGGGATGGAACAGTTCGTTGAATGATTTCAATGGCCTCTGAACTCTGTTTTGACTTTCTGGTGTTAATTGATCATCCACACTGGTAAATTCTAAAGGCATGAGAGGAGGACGTTAAGATAGTTTATTTTACCAAGTTGAGGGTAATTTATAGGATTGTGAAAAGTGTGAAGAAATGTATAATTTGGTAATAATATATATGATTCGAACCATAAAATAACAGAAGAGAGAGAGAGCTTTCCCTGAATGAGGGATACCTGTTGCTAGTAAATTGTACTAATCTTGGATTACTTTTACGGGATAGAAGTAAGTTGAGGTATTATCAAATGTTGTCAGCAGGGTTAAAACACTTCTCTGGTCCCAGTCAGCTGTCAAAATAGGAAGTTTTGATAGATAGAGATCTACTTATAGAGAGCTACAGTAGGGCCCCAATTAAGGAAGTTCACAGATGGGTGAAGCAAGGCGCAGAAATAAGGAAGGAATATGGGTCAAAGACAGTTTACCAATTCTCCCGAAATTACTGTTTAGATATGCTGCAATATTGACACACGGGCAGAGCCATGTGTCAACGGGAGGGATGGATGGTAGAGCAGATTAGACAACACTTTGTTGCATATGGGATTACAAATTATAAAAAAAAAATAAAATAAAAAAAATTGTTCAAGATGTGTTATCTGTGCTCAAAATAATCACCAGGGCAGACAAAGGGCACCTCAGGGTGAGTATCCTCCGGTTAAGTACCCCTTCCAGCAATTGGAAATGGATTTTATAGAGTTATCACAGAGTGAAGGGAAGAAATTTAGAGTAACCCCAGATAAAGATGGGTTATCCCCCTTTGAGAAAGTGTTTGGAAGACCTTACAGAATGCCACAGTTGGCAGGACCAGAACAGGCAGACATAGAACTATAGAATACACTAGCAGAACACATGAGAAAATTGTTCGTTAACCGTATGTCTAAGAATTTGTGTCCTACAGGAGAATTAAAGGAGAAGGTGATTCATAATATATAACCTGGAGACTGGGTGTGGATCCAAATCGTTGAGGAAAAAGGATTGAAAGCAGTCACGCTGGGAGGGACCATACCAAGTCCTATTGGTAACTGCCTTCGCTATAAGAATAGCTGAGAGAGCCACTTGGGTCCACGTTACCCACTGCAAAAAGGTAGGCCCACATACCAACACCGTTGAACACACACAGAGTTAAAGAGAAGAACTGAACCACTAGGGTTCGGGGGTAAACTCTGTTAACGAAGAAACCCTACCCCAACCTTTCATCACTGTGGGGTGTTTTATAGAGGTGTGGGTATGGGGAAGTACCAGGCAGGTGGGTCAGGGACAGGATTGGGATGGCGGTTTGGGGATTTTGGGGGACTCTGAGCTGCATCATCATGTTAACCATATTATGGATTAATCCAGGTCAACCTAAACAGGGAAATTATGCACTGATTCGATCTCGTAGAAATACTGAAACCAAGAAAGACTATTGGGGGATTTATTATTTTAATAGTTAAAGTCAGTTTAGGACAAGATGGGGGATTCAAGATACCATTCGACTTCTCCCATGAAGAGATAGGAGGTTTTGGGGGCTTTGGTAAGAAGGGGGCGTGTACAAGAAAGTTAGGTCCTAGAGGGTATGGTAAATACATTTGCACTGGGGAACGCTCATGTCCTTGGGCAAGGGTGTTTAAACATACCTGGGGGAACATACTATGAGAATGGAATGGACGCAGTACACCGATGGGGAATTAAACAAACCCATGATAAATGTAAAACGGAACTGGTGATAACGGTAAAGTAAATTATGCAAGATGACATAGCAAGGAAATTATTGGGTCTGTGTTGATGATGTCGGGGCAAATACATGTGTGAGGCTCATTTTTCAGGAGAGAAATGAATCTTCCACCCCCGAGACAGAACAGCAGGTAGATCTAATGTTATCACCAGAGGTATCAAAAAACTAGTCTAATACCCCTTGGAAGGCCCTCAGAAGGAATCCTAAATAGCACTAAACCACCAAGGGTAGAATATTTCCTCTTGCAGGAAATGAACCAAGGAGAAGTAGAAGGAATTTCAAATGAGAACTTCTGGGAAAGGTGGATGAACTACACAGCTAGGGCATTGGGTCAAACTAATTGTTCTCTTGTGTGATAGATTTGGGATCAAACCAAACCTCACCTAATTGTTCTGATATTAAAATAACCACTCTTAAAAAGGATAATACTAAGGCACCCCAATTCACCATTAACCCCCGGGGGAATCAAAATTTTTTTTATAGCACCAAAAATAATTCGATCACAGATCAATTGAGAAAGGGGGACAAAAAACTTTTTATGGGGGGTTTTCCCTGATAAAACCCTGTTGACTGGGTTTAAATTTCCCTCTACAAAAGGTTCGTTTAAATTAGACAAGGGATGCGGTGAAAAGAAAACTAAAGGGCCCAAAATCCCCCACCTCACTCAGCCCGCAGAATTTTTGGTTCTCAAAAGCTTTTAGAGAGAAGGGCGGATTTCAAAATGGTGGGGGGGTATTGTTTTTTGTTATCCCCAAAAAAAACAGCCCCAATGGCAGTAAAATAGAGCACTGGCAGTCTACTGCATTAAGTAAAGAATGGGCTGAGAACTGGGGGGTGAATAAAAAAAATACTGGGTTGGGTTTTATAAATGTTTGGTAAAAAGGAAAAAAATTGTTGTAAAAATTCTGGGTGCAGCTAAGCTTTATGGGTTTTACTTGTTCTTTGTGGATGTTGTTTATTCCCTGTGTCCGAGGGTTGGTGAGCCAAAATTGTTGGGAAAATTTCGTATCACAGCAATGGTTTAGATTTGGGCCCAAAACCCGGCCCCCGCCCCAAAAATAAAAATATGACCCACCACTTGGTGGGGACGAAGACGAAATTTAGATAGTTTGAGACTGGAGTTTTCCTAAACTATAAATCTCTAGTTTAAAAAATTTTTTGTAATGATTTCTGTGTATGAAGTGTGGATAATTTAGTCAAAAGGGTGGGTTTTAAAATAAAAAAATATATTTCAGGGGTTAAAAAAAAATGACTAAATGTTCCCCCCTTTAAAATAAGTTTTTAAATGTTTTTTTTAAGTTGATTAACTTTCTTTTGTGACTAATTTATACTCCGAAAATGTGTGAGATGTGTTAAAACTACTACCCGGTAAGGTGAGTGTAGGACCAGGGAAAGACTAAAGACATTGAGCTACTATTTGCAATTTTTGGAAGAGTTAACCGACAAAAAAAGGACAAGGGAACTGTTTTACAGGGAATGAGAAACCAAGATAACTGAGGAATTTAGGGAGGAGAGAAACTGTTAGGCTTGAGAGTGCATGTGTGTGTGTGTGTATGTGTTGTGTGTGTGTGTGTGTGTGTGTTGTGTGGTGTTGTGTGGTGTGGTGTGTGTGTGTGTGGTGTTGTGTGGTGTGTGTGTGTGTGTGTGTGTGTGTGTGTTGTACTGATGGTCAGGAGAGCAGTTTTAAAGTGGAAAACTACAGCCTGCCTACAGAGAGGAGGGATTTTTGTATGACGTATGAGTATAAAAGATGGACTCTGAAATTGTGATGGCAGAATTCTCAATGAATACATCTCTGACTATTGCAGACCGGGACTCTGTCCGTTTCTTAAATCCAAAAGACTTACAACCTCTTTTGGGAGACGCACAGAGACACTGAAATAGTTTGATAAATAATTATCATAACAGAATGTCACACGAATTAACTGTCAATGCACATAGTTTCCATAACAATCCTGTGTTAAAGCTTATTTTGGTCCCATATCCGTCAACCACAAAGTCCACTGAATTCCCATAAGCTCTGAGTAGTGGTCCTCAGATCATTGTTTCTACCTCTTACGTGGCTATTTATTACACATTTACTAAACCTTTATTTGGTATGTTTCAATACTATGAAAATCATAGAGAAAAGTTATTGTTATTAGTTAGACATGCTGCAGGGACACCTTTGACACACAAGGTGGCAGTAAACATTAATTAATGGAGATATGTAGCTTTACCCAGAGAGGAGGCATGCTGCATGTGGGACTATTTTGATGCGTAATAGGGCTAATAACCGTGTCATACCAGCACCTTCCACCACCAGATATGGTGGATATGACCGTTCAAATAATAGAGACTACTACTTCACTGAATATTTGAAATGAAAGCCAAGCCTGATGTTGGATGAAAATGTATGGATGAAATGAGTGAAACAATTTTTCTATAACAGCTGCTCACCAAATGAATTATGATCTGTGTGTGTGGGCTTGCACATGAGAGTCTCTCTCACCTTCCCACTTCACATTTAACAACAATGACAAATGAAAAACACAAAGACCTGCATGAGTACGTTTCACCTTATTATTATTTATTATTATTATATTATATTATTATTATTATTATTCATATATATTATTTTATTTACCTTTATTTAACTAGGCAAGTCAGTTAAGAACAATTCTTATTTACAATGACGGCCTACACCGGCCAAACCCGGACGACGCTGGGCCAATTGTGTGCTGCCCTATAGGCTGAGACTGAGAGAGAAAGAGAGAGTGGAGGCACTTCCATTAGAAGTAACTCTATTTCATATCTGATGGCCATGGCCAACCCTCTCATACACCAGCCTTAATATGACTACCTTGATGATAGTGTTGGTGATAAGGGTCAGTGGTCCAATCTTACAAACAATGAATGAATGATCATGGCATTTCATACAAGGCCTGTAGCCAATCATGACTGGGCTTACCAGACTCAAGAGCAGGCCTCTCATCCTCACATGCCTGTCCATGTCCTCAGTCGCAGATGAACCCCATGTTGTTGACATGGTGTGCATCCAAAATGGCACCCTATACCTTTTTAGTGCACAAATATCTTTTGACCAGGGAGGCCCATGGCCTTAGTTCTGAATAGGTGGAAGGAAGTGACCAGGCTTGGTGGAGGACGACGACGATCCAGATAGTTTGAGACTGGATGTTTTCCTAGAACTATAAATCTCTAGTTTAAGAGTTATTGTAATTATATTTTGTGTATTAAAGTCTCGTTTTAAGTATGATGTACTAGTTACCGTTGCTAAAAAGTAACGTTACACTTTTAATCATGGGGTAACCCTGATGAACCTGTATTGAATGAGACCATTTTTTTTTTATATGCAAACCAACTTATATACTTCAATGAGTGTGATTCATTTCTATAACAACATATATTTTGTATGTGCGTAATAATTAGTCAAAGGGTGGATTGATAGATTAATTATTAATGACTAATTATTACACCCTATAATGTGTTAGAAATGTGTGAGTGTAGGACCAGTAAAGACTCAGCAATGTGAGTAAGAGGACAAGGAGAACTGTCTACAGACAACTGAGAAACCAAGATAAAGAGGCCTCCCAATTTAGGGAGGGGAGAAACTGTTATGAAAACATGGTGCAGAATATTGTGAGAACGGCAATATCTGAGGAATGCAGAGAGTAGACTATGATAAGAAAGTGTGTATGTATGAGCGTGTGTATGCATGTGTGTGTGTGTATGTATGTGTGTATGCATGTGAGTATATATGTGTGTGTGTGTGAACTGATGGTCAGGAGAGCAGTTTTAGAGTGGAAAACTACAGCCCGCCTACAGAGGGGAGGGATTTTTTTGTATGATGTATGAGTATAAAAGATGGACTCTGAAATTGTGATGGCAGAATTCTCAATGAATAAAGATCTTTGATTATGCAGATCGGGACTCTGTCCATTACTTAAATCCCAAAAGACTTACAACCTTTTGGGAGACGCACAGAGACACTGAAATAGTTTGTTTAATAATTCACTTAACAGTTACTACATGATTCCATATGTGTTATTTCATAGTTTTGATGTCTTCACTATTATTCTACAATGTAGAAAATAGTAAAAAATTATGAAAAACCCTTGAATGTGTAGGTGTGTCCAAACTTTTGAATGGTACTGCATGTATTCAGACCCTTTGCTATGAGACTCGAAATTGAGCTCAGGTGCATCCTGTTTCCATTGAGAGATGTTTCTACAACTTGATTGGAGTCCACCTGTGGTAAATTCAATTGATTGGACATAATTTGGAAAGGCACACACCTGTCTATATAAGGTCCCACAGTTGACAGTGCATGTCCGAGCAAACACAAAGCCATGAGATCGAAGGAATTGTCTGTGGAATTGTCCGAAACAGGATCGTGTCGAGGCACAGATCTGGGGAAGGGTACCAAAAAAATTATGTAGCATTGAAGGTCCCCAAGAACACAGTAGCCTCCATCATTCTTAAATGGAAGAAATGTAGAACCACCAAGACTCTTCCTAGAGCTGGCCGCCCGGTCAAACTGAGCAAACGGGGAAGAAGAACACGATGGTCACTCTGATAGAGCTCCAGAGTTCCTCTGTGGAGATGGGAGTACCTTCCAGAAGGACAACCATCTCTGCAGCACTCCACCAATCAGGCCTTTATGGTAGAGTGGCCAGACGGAAGCCACTCCTCAGTAAAAGGCACATGACAGCCCGCTTGAAGTTTGCCAAAAGGCACCTAAAGACTCTCAGACAATGAGAAAGAAGATTATGTGGTCTGATGTAACCAAGATTGAACTCTTTGGCCTGAATGCCAAGCGTCTGTCACGACTTCCTCCGAGGCTGCCTCCTCTCCTTGTTCGGGCAGGCTTCGGCGTTTGTCGTCACTGGCCTTCTAACCACTGCCGCTCCTCATCTCATCATTCCATTTGTTTTGTCTTGTTTCTTACACACACCTGGTTCATATCCCTTCATCAGTACCTGTGTAAGTGTTCCCTCTGCCCCCTTGTCTTTGTGTGTGATTGTATATTGTGAGATTAGTGAAGCTCGGTGGAGCTCCTTGTATTTTGTATCACCAGGTTATTTTCCCGTAACTCTGTATTCCGGAATAAATCCTGTTATTCTGTGATTTACCCTCCTGCACCTGACTCCTTCAAATCACCACATCACAGAATCACACACCCGCAATGGAGTCAGCAGGAGAGGAGCACATGCCTGGAGTCATGGCACGGGTCCGGGAGCATTCAACGATGCTAGCCAGCTTGGGAGAAGCGATGGATCAGGTTCTCCTGGTCATGGAACGCCTGGAGAGGAGAGGACCCGATCTGTCGGGACCAGCTGGGCGACCGGATCCAGCCACCCACACCCCAGCACCCAGAGGGATCCATATCTCCCGACCACGGTATTTTGACGAGGCAGCTGCTCTCTGCCAGGGATTCCACCTACAACTGGAGCTATATTATTCAAACATCAGCGTGGCTCCATCGGAGCGGGAGAAGGTGTCTGCCCTCGTCTCCTGTCTCTCGGGGAAAGCCCTGGTGTGGGCCAACACGGTTTGGAGTGAAGGAGGAGCCGCGTTGGACAACTATGGGGAGTTCGCTCACCTCTTCTAGGCAGTCTTCGACCACCCGCCCGAGGGTAGAGAGGCGGGCGAGCGGCTGGTCCACCTGAGACAGGGGACGAGAACCGCGCAGGACTTCGCCCTGGAGTTTCGGACTCTAGCCGCTGGGTCCGGGTGGAACGAGCGGGCCCTCATCGACCACTTCCGGTGCCATCTGCGAGAGGACCTCCGAAGGGAGCTAGCTTGCCGGGACACCATGTTGTCCTTCAACCAACTGTTGGACATGGCCATCTGGTTGGACAACCTGATTGCTGCTAGAGGACGTCCTGGAAGGGGCCTGCCCGTTCCACCCCCTCCCAACCCGGATCACGAGATGATGGAGCTCGGTGGAGTGGTGATCCGGGAGAGCAGAGGACGACAGCGACAGTGTCACTCTCGTAGCGCGAGAGGACATTCTCATTCACGATGTCTTAATCGGCAGGCAGGGCACTCTCGTGTTACCCCAGGTATTGAACACCCACACTCGTTCAAAGCCCTCTGTTGCGCACTGTACCCTACCCATCCACTTTCCTGATTACATTGTAGTTCCCCAGTGTAGGGTGCTGGTCGATTCAGGCACAGCTGGGAACTTTATGGACAGGTCAATTTCACATAGTCTAGGCATTACATTGATTCCCCTATCCATTCCACTCCCCATTAGAGCACTTGACAGTCGACCATTAGGGTCCGGGATCGTTAGGGAAGTTACAGCACCATTCACTATGGTTATGTATGAGACTCATCGAGAGCAAGTCACTTTTTTTATTATTCAGTCTCCTGATTTCCCTATTGCGTTAGGTCTTCCCTGGTTAGCACTACACAACCCCACCTTTTCATGGCCGCAGAGGGTTCTCACGGGGTGGTTGCGAGAGTGTCAGGGTAGGTGTCTAGGTGTTTCCGTTGGTGCAACCACGGTGGAAAGTCCAGACAGTACCTCCACCGTGCTCATTCCCCCCGAATACCTCAATTTGGCGCACGCGTTTTCCAAAACGCAGGCAACCAAATTACCACCTCATCGGGCGGGGTATTGCTCGATAAACCTCCGGGTAGACGCTGTGCCTCCCAGGAGTCATGTGTATCCCCTGTCGCAGGCTGAAATGGAGGCTATGGAGACATATGTCTCCGAGTCCCTGCGCCAGGGGTTCATACGTCCCTCCACTTCACCCGCCTCTTTGAGTTTCTTTTTTGTGAAGAAGAAAGATGGAGTTCTACGCCCTTGCATTGATTACCGAGCACTGAACAAGGGGACAATACTTTATAGTTATCCTCTACCCCTCATTCCATCTGTGATCGAGTTAATGCACGGTGCATGCTTCTTCACAAAATGTTATCTCCGGAGTGCGTACAACCTGGTGCGTGTCCGAGAGGGGGACGAGTGGAAGACAGCATTCAGCACCACCACAGGGCATTACGAATACCTGGTGATGCCTTACGGTTTGATGAATGCTCCATCCGTCTTCCAGTCCATTGTGACCGAGGTGTTTCGGGACATGCTTGTTCGCGGTGTAGTGGTGTACATCGATGACATTTTGGTGTATTCCGGTACGCACGCCGAGCATGTGTCCCTGGTTTGCAAAGTGCTGGACCGACTGTTGGAACATGACCTTTATGCCAAGGCAGAAAAGTGTCTGTTTTCCAACAGTCCGTCTCCTTCCTCGGATAACGCATTACCACCTCAGGTGTGGAGATGGAGGGAGATCGCATTTCAGCCATGCGTAATTGGCCGACTCCAACCACGGTAAAGGAGGTGCAGCGCTTTATTGGCTTTGCCAACTACTATCGGAGGTTTATCCAGGGCTTTGGCAAGGTCGCAGTTCCCATCACATCACTGTTGAAGGGTGGGCCGTCCCGGCTCCGCTGTTCTGCTGAGGCTGAAAGGGCCTTCAGTAACCTGAGGGTTCTGGTCACCTCAGCCCCGGTACTGGCCCATCCCGATCCATCACTACTGTTCGTAGTGGAGGTGGATACGTCCGAGGTAGGGATAGGTGCAGTCCTATCTCAATGCTCGGACATGCCACCCAAGTTCCGCCCCTGTGCCTTCTTTTCCAAGAAGCTCAGCCTGGCGGAGCAGAACTACGACGTTGGTGATCGGGAGCTGTTGGCTGTTGTCCAAGCCCTGACCATGTGGAGGCACAGGCTCGAAGGGGCGAACCACCCTTTCCTCGTCTGGACAGACCACCGTAACCAGGAGTACATCCGGGCAGCGAGGAGGCTGAACCCTCGCCAGGCCAGGTGGTTCATATTTTTCACCAGGTTTGACTTTACACTATCTTACATCCCGGGTACAAAGAACGTGCTGTACAACCCAGAGGAGAGGCCCATAGACAACACCCCCATACTCCCGGCCTCCTGCATTGTGGCGCCGGTAGTATGGGCGATGGACGCGGACATAGAGCGGGCATTACGCACAGAGCCATCTCCACCTCAGTG